AAATGTACGCATTGATAGCTATCATTATTTTTTCCTGAATACCACCACCCCTTCTTTTGCTTTATGGGTTTCTTACGACTAAATTTCTAATAAATTATCCTCATACAACAGTAAGAATTTGACAGTTTGTGGCCTCAGTAACTAATAGAAAAGGCTACAAGCATGAAAGTTCAAATTAGCAGAAAAATCAACTGGCTGAGTATCACACACAAAAACAACAAAAAAATGGAAAACAAAAATGAAACTAGCAATTCCACCAGAAATATAGTCCACATGATATAGGAAACTTTCAAGTTAGCAGAAATATAGAAAACTGTAATGGGCAGTAGAAATATAGGCACATGAAGTTCATGGTAGTTGAAGGGGAAAATGAAGAAATCGATGAAGGGAAAAAGAATCGACAATATGGAGTGAAGCAAGCCATCTCTTTGGGATTTTTTGCTTCTATATCTCATAATTTTTTGGCTTCCATTATTTCTTATAGTAAGAAATTGATTTTCTAGAAATGGAAGTGATCTGCTCATAGATAGTTAGCTGTTATTTAGGCCTATAGGAAGCAAATGAGGCACATTAATTACATTTGAGGGTCCCAGACCACGAAGTTGCGACAACCTATCTAATATTTTTTGCCTCTATCTTTGAATAGCTTGTTTTCTATAACTAATTTTATCCATATTTTTCATTCATCTCAAATGGAGGAATACCAGTAGCATTCTCAGAATCCTCATTTATGACAAAATATATAAGAAAAGAAGGATGCTAATCCATCAAGGCAAACATGATAAAATAGCTAAAAGAACTTCTCTAAGGTAATGGCTGACTATCAGACATCTCGATCACTATTTAGCCAACCATATAATTGTTCTATATTATAAGGTTGTTTATATACTTTTATGCTAACAATATCAAACAATCAAATGAATAGAAAATAACGACAGAACAAAGGTAAAACCAACTGGACACATGACTAATTAAAGCTTAAGGAATTAAGCATATAGAGCCACCAAATTCTAATAACAAAAGCATAAAAAATCTTGAACTAAGGAGACAATATAGCTAACTACAGAGTTTTTTTTGTAAAAAGAAATGTAAAAATTATTTATATAATATAAAAGTCAAATTGAAGCATTAGACATACCTGGCAATAGTAACAATAAATCAGAGAGGGAAACGTACAAAGCTCTGCGTCTAGAATGAAGTGTAGATTATCCAAGTAACAAAACACAAGGAAAAAGAAATATCAGGAGAAGAAGGAGAAGAACATGGACAAAAAAGGGCAAAGAAAAACAGCAAAATAGGTGCATACATAATTCGAACTTTAGAGGCAAACACAGCAAGAGCAATGATGCATTATAAACAAAATAAAGTAATTTTAATAGAATATCAACGGACACCTAAAACCACAACTGAGCTGAACACCAAGTTAATAACCTTTATTTTCCTTTAGAAATGTTTATTACATTTGATGCCTTTGAAGCCTAGCTTTTGGCTAAACTACAACAAGTACCACCATTCAAATCTCCGTTCTTAAGAAGTAATCATCAGGTTTTTCATTCTCCTAAGGTTGTGTCTAGATTAGACAAAACAGCAAGCATATTACATGCAACTTGAGGTAAAACAGGCACAATAATCTAAGTTGCTTAACTGATAGTCATATAAAAGAGTGAACGAGCTTTGCCTAAAAGGGCTACAATGAATAACAGCCGAAGGATGCTCTATATACAATATCCTTAAGAGGTGACCATCAAGCTTTTGATTGCTCTAGACAAGTCTAGACTAAACGAAATAGCAAACAAGGCACACACTAAATATATTAGAAACTAGAAGTACAAAGCCTTAAGTTGTTTAACCAATAGTCACTTAGATGACTAAACAAGCTTTGCCAATAACAACCTCTTTGCATTGACCTTAAAGTTCTCTGAAAAATAGATAATCAGTCTTATTTCTCATTTAGAACAACAACAGGTCACATATTTTAGATATGTATATTGTAATTAAAGACAAAAGCACCAGTAACAGGAGATTGAAATTAGTTAAAAATGAACTTGTCATATAATAATAACTTTAGCATAGCAGCTACAACCCCAAAATCAGCACAAGCAAAAGTTTGTCTCATAAAATATATTGTACTAATGATTTTGGCTCACAAAATATGTTATTGTTGTCCATTGTTATAATTTTTTTTCTAGTATATATAGCAATTTGGCTGTTTGATAGAACATTGATCATATGCAAACCAATAGGACAGTTTAGTTGGCCATAATCACATTAGCAAATGGATCTCTCTTTTTTATAGGCATGCCACTAATAATATATATATATTCAAGAATTCACCAAATTTCAAAATAAGAATTATTGAACTGAGAGTTGGGTTCATATCTTCATTTTTGGCTTGTTTTTTCAGGTGAATGGGTTGTAGCAACACAATTGGATTGAGAAAATATTAACACAATTACCAACTAAAATAAAAACTATTTGTTTCATAAAGGATCACACAAAACAAATAGCACCAGCAAACTTAAAATAAATGAAGCAGAAACTGAAGGAAAACTACTAAAAAGAAAAGGGAACGCTGAAATTTCACTTTTGAAAATATAGTCACATAAATGAAGAAAAGTTGCTCATAGATTCAAGAAAAACAACAAGCTGACTTTCAAGTTAAAGGATTCCTTGACTAATGATATGAACCGTAGCAGAAAGAATCTATCAATTGAAGCATATGTGTTTATTAGAATTTATTAATCCATCTATTACTCATACGGGAAAAATTTGACAAAAAAAAAGGGAAAGACTTTTTCTCACCAAAGAGACTCCAAATAAGGTGTAAATATCAAGACGCTTCTTCTTGCAGTTCATAAGACAGAAGAGCCAGCACCATGCACTGATAAATACCTCTATTCTATTTTTTGATTTCGTAATTTACTGGAAAATTTACAGGCTAAATGAATAGGAAACCTATTTCTTATTATAACTGAAACAAGGGAAAAATCACATCCGAAAAGATATTCCTCATCATAATCGTACGGCTGAATGGGAAAACTAATGAGAATAGAATGTCATACCTAATCTAACAAAAAGTTTCCAACTTCCCTCCTTTGAAGTACAATTATCACGTGACTGCCCCACAATTCTTGCAACATGAAATCAATAGAAAGAGAAATGGGTTAACATGAAATCAATTCTTGCAACATGAAATGGGTTAATTTGATATTAAGGAAAGAGGAAACCACGGCAAGTGTAGGCAATGCAGTTCACCTGCTCCTAATTTTCCTCCTTTGAAGTACAAACACCATGTGAGTGAGTAGCAATTTCTGCAACATGAAATCAAGTGTCTGGAGTGGCAGTTGAGCTATTGGCTTCAACGGCAATTTTTGAAAGAAGGAACTCACAAAACCCATCTCCCAAATCACGTAAAAATTCCAACTTTTGGCTAGAATAGACGTTTCGGATTGGGTTTGGTAGAATAGCCGTTTGGAATTGGATTTGCTTAGAATAGGTGCGCCGAATTTTTGGTCAGAATAGCCATCTGGTAGAGAGAAAGGAAGAAAAGGCTTCACCGGCAATTTGAGAAAGAATGAGTTCAATGCCTAAAGAAAGAACAGGTTTCATACAATTTGGAAGGAATATTTGACTTTTCCACATGGCTAAAGAAAAGGAAAGCACTACTGAGAAAGAAGCAGTTTAATGCCAAAAGAAAGCTACTAATCCCACGGTCAATTTGAAAGAAATATTAAGAGAAAGCTTCAACAATTTGCAAGAAATATTTGGCCTTGCCACTTGTCAAATAAATGAGAAGCCACTTGACAAAAGTAAAGGAAAGCACTAAACTTTCCTGCTTTCTTATATACAAGGTAGATATGTAAAGAGATACACCATAGATGAAATTTAAGAAGAATCAAGGGCTGTTGCAAATTGAGATTTTGAGCATGGCTAACGCTTTTATGTTGGCTTTTGGAAAACATGAACACCAATTATAAGTCAGTTGATCTTGAACATATTTGAAACATTTGTAATTTGAGTGTGTTAATCAAGGGGTTGATACTTTCTTATGGCGTAAATTACTGACCTGCTAAGCTTTTGTCTAATGTCATTTGATCACACCATATATAGTGTCTCTCACTACATTCTTTCTTTTATTAAATTTGATACTTTGGTGTGTATGTATAGTCAAATACATCAGAATAGGAAAGATTAATCAAAAGTTTAAATTGTGGACTTTTGAACTTGTGTGACTTAATATTTAGCCGTTGGATGAATAATCATACAATTTTGTGAATTTGTTATGCAATCCTTACACACACATATATGGTATTTAATATAACTATGCACGTAGGTTTTATCCATCATAACGAGATAGTCATACATAACTTGAAACTATTAACAAGCATCTAAATATACTTAAAACTGTATTAAATTGTTAAATTTTCCTCTCTTTTATTATTAATTGTGAGAAAAATTTTATACAAAAAATATTACAATGAGAAACACAAGACAAGTGCAATGGACATATTCCCATACTACATATATATATATATATATATATATATATATATATATATATATAAAGTAAGATAAAAAATACACACAAACACTTGGATACATTTACATAGATACTCAATTAAAATTGACAAGCTTTTAGAGTCTCCAATGTGTATACTAAAACCCGATTCATCAATCTATTAGAACTATTTCAATTTGGCCCGAGCTTTTGGCCAACTCGAAATCATGATTGATTTTTGAGTAACTCGTTTAAAATTGAATTATTTGCACCCTGAATTGTTGCTTGAAGATATCATTCGTGATAGTTATTGGCAATAGGTACTTTATATGAACAATCCAAGTGTATTGTAGTATCGCATTCTTTTTTTTTTTTTTTTTTTTTTGGTTTGTTGGGGGGGGGGGGGCTGTGTGTTGAGGGGGATATACCACTCAAATTGGACCTTTGCTACCAAAGTATTCGCCCTATGAGAAAATCTACCTAAAAAGGAAAAGAGGAAATATTAAACGTAAAAGAGTTAAATTTGTGATCATATATAGATTTGACTGTGGCAGTGACTCTTAATCGATCTCCGTCCTGTGTACTATGACTGAACAGGCATTAAATGCTACAACAGAACACTCGAGGATCATCCAGCACAATTCTCATACTTCAGGAAGTAGATGTTGAGGCCAGGAAATTAGATATTTTTCTCTCTTCTAAACATCGAACAAATGTGTCTATATAATCTTGATTCCTCTTCCCATTGCCAAACAAACTGGTCATTTGCCTGGCATTAGCCCTCATTGGCTCTCCCTCCTCACTCACTACTGCATATCTCAATGTCTCGGCTACAGCAGTGCTTGTGAACAAGCCATCTTCTGCAGCTCTTGGTATCTCCACTCCAACTTTCTTGCCTTCCAATAGCCTAGCATTCAGCCCTTGATCATTCATCACTGGAAATAGTATCAGAACTCGGCCGAAACCAAGTGCCTCTATCACTGAATTCCAGCCGCAGTGAGTTAGGTACCCTCCAATTGCTGGATGACTTAATATCTTCACCTGAGGAACCCATTCAGTGTAAACCACTCCTTGGCCATTGGCATTGATCCTCTCTCTGAACCCTTCAGGAAGCATATCTGTAACATCTTTTTTTGATCCGGGTGGCTTTCGTAGTACCCAAAAGAATGGCAATTCAGATTGCTCTAAACCAATAGCCAAGTCTTGGACTTCTTTTTGGCTTATTGTTGCTTCAGTCCCAAGTGCCACATAAACAACTTTGCTTGCAGTTTGTTTATCTAACCAGTTTTGAATCTTTTGCCACTTTTCATCAGTTTCCAATTCGTCATCATCGTCAAGGGATGGAGGTAAAACACCCAAGGAAACAACTGGTTTCTGGTAAAGTTCACGAACAAGATTGAACCATTCTGGTTCAAATTCAACGCTTGTCCTAAATATGACCAGGTCGCTTCTATCAATAGAAGCAGCAAACCTGACAAAATCTGAAGCTCCAGATTCATTGCCAGATGCATCCTCGATGTTCTTCCGCACCTCGTGCAAGCGATAAGCACAGTTAGATGGAAAGGGTATCCATTTGGGCACAACTGTGAAGTCCTCAGCCGTTGATCTACCATCCTCTCCACTCAACAAGGCAGAGGGACGTCCCAAAAAGGACAAAGCTGCTGCAGTGAAGAGACTAAAGAAGGCAGCTGAGACACCATTTTGAGCAGCAATTTCGGGTAGCCAGTGGGAAGCATAGTCATGTATAATCCAATCTGGTTTTGGCCTTGTGTTTTCAAGAAAGGAGGCTATTGGTGATCGAAGCAAGTCAAAGGCTATCTTCAAGAACTGATCTTTTTCATGGGGTATGTCAGTTGAAGTCTCTCCCTGCTTTGGTAAGTTGTCAACTTCTGGCAGGGGAATGCTAACAAGCTCAATCTGAGAAGCTAATTCTTGGGGGATTTTAGGGAGTCTTTGGAGGTTTCTTGGAGTGGAAATGAACGAAATTTTATGCCCTTTTCCAGCTAACAGTTTAGATAGCCTAAAAAAGGGTATCAGATGACCCATGGCTAGCCATGGGAACATCACAACATGGAGAACATTGCTGCTTTCCATGGAGAAGAGATGTATAACGAGGCTAGACTCTAGAGTAGAGACAAGACAGTATTTCCTGCTTTGTGAAGGCTCTAAGGTAGCAAGCACGAATCGGCCATTATATAAGAAAATTGCGAGGCAAATTCGCCGTACCTGGACTGGTGTATGAGGCAGGACTTTCTGAAATTTTTGACAATATTATATTGAAGTTTGAACCCAGATTGACTGGCATTTTGCATAAGTGAAAACGTCATTTAAATCGTTAGCGCAAACGTATACATTTCATGGAAGTTTCTGTTTTCAAGTTCCAAGTAAGAACAACGCATTCTCGCAGAACAAATGGTAACCTTCTTCCCGCTTCAAATTCCCTACTTCTGTCTGCTCATATCATATGGATAGTTTCACAGGAGTCGGAGACAAGACATGCATCAAGCTTTTGAGAAAATTTTAGGCCATTAAGACCACTTGAAGATTTGAGATGCCAGTTTGAACTTAGTTTCAAGAAAGTGAGGAGTCATCACATATCCAAAGGCTGGTGACCAACATTTTTCTGACCTTAGATAATCCCTTCTTTGTTCAGTTACAAGTTAATTTGCAAAACTCTGCAAAAGTCTAATTGAGAAATATTTGTACGACAAGATATATAGTAGTAGTTGATATTGACTCCTAATTTAACCACAACTCTTTGTTGACTACCCTTACTCTAATCATGGTATTGACCATGTCTCATGAGACCGGCGGAATTGATGTTAAAATTGAAAGCCTGAAACTTTCTCACAAGAAGCCCCGTCCAAAATGACATTCTTATTAATTTATTTGGAAATGTAGTATAAACCGGCCGGATGGTTTTAGACTGTGGTCGTCCTCCACGTGCGTTTCACGTGTTATTTAGTTGTTTTTGCTGTTTTTTTTTTCTCCTTGGGCTAAAGAAGGGTCCCTCTGCTTTGGAATTGAGCGCGCATCATTACGCTTTTTATTTATATGTGTGCAAACGGCAGATTCCTCATCTCATTACCTCATAACCAACAGATTTTGTTTGAAAGGCGGCTACACTGTCATCATTGCTATCATTTATTATTTATTACAAATAAATTCTGCTGGCATGCTCTGTGTTTGTAACAGTGGTTTGCTGTGCCTGCAAGCTAGTAATTTCTTTGGTTTCCAACAGTCCTCTTCACAGCTTCTCGTGCATCCTCTTCCCTGCTTTTCATAGTTTCTCTTCCCGACTTTTTGTTACCGCCGATGGAACCCTGCCTTTTCATCTCCGCTGGCATGCTCTCCATTGGTCGCGGAGGTTTACTCTACCTTCAACCTACTAATTCCTTTGATTTCCAACACATTTCTTGCCAGCTTCTCGTGTTCCTCTTCTCTACTTTTCATAGATTCTCTTCCCTGTATCCGTGTCCTTATTATCCCCCCCTTCTGTCTTTCTTTTTAGTACCTCTTCGGCATCTTATTTGTCTTCTTTTTGCCAGTATAACTTGTTTTCCAGTCAAGACCTAACTTTGCCTTGGAAATGCAGAATATCGAACTTCCGTTGGGAAAGTTGCACCACAGCTGAAAACTAAAAAATTCTTAGCCCATGTCAAGCCTGTGCAGACTCCTCTAGCAAATGGAAAGCGCCGCTATACAATGCAGCACTATGAAGAAATCTCTGATGGAACTCATTCAGTCCCAACCGTGGAAGAAGAAAGCTCTTTTCCAAAAACTAAGCTTTCTCTCATTGACAGATTCAACAATTGTGATGATGCACAGGAAACCACCTCATTGAATTCTGAAGCCAGCAAAAACAAAAAAGCCAGGCAAAATTAGGGAAAAAAATAGCTGGTATAGCTAAGGCTTTTGCTCACATTTTGACTCTCTGCTGGATGGTTGCCACCAGAGTTATCCAAACTCATTTTGTCAGCAGGTTTTTGATAGTATTGCGGCCTGTATTAATTAACTAGACATGTTCTTTTACAATTATGCTCGTCAAACTGAGTACTGAAATGCATTATGCTCTGGAAGCAAATTTGGTATTTTTCCCTCATCGTGCCTTGTTTGTTACTGCGAATAGCCACCATGAAATATACGTAGTTGTTACTTTCTTTGGCCACAGAATCTATCGAAATGGGATCATTTGACCAGTTTTCCTTTAAATGCTAAAATATGAGCCTTACAACCACAAGTTCAAAACTGTCTTTCCATTTTTTTTTTGGCTCTTCCAGTTTGTTAGCCAAAGATAGAGCTGCAAAGGGATGCTGGTTCTTATTTAGATTTACTGAGCCTGAACAGGTACTAAGAAGATTTAGCATTTTGCTGCTATTAGCATACCGTGCCATCTCATATCGCTTCTCATGCAGCTTATATTTACATATACACTGCAGATATTGCCTATTCCATTTCAAGCCCTTCTAATCAAACACCGATGTAGCCAGCTAACTATAAGAGAAGGGTACAGAACTTGGATTATCAAGCTTCAGCGGCAGTCATTCACTGAAGGATGGCAAGAGTTTTTTCCACAGCAACATCATCAAGGAAAATTACTTTTTCTTGCTTTGACATTCTGGTCACCTAATCTTCGATGTCATCCATTTTTGTGAGGACAAAAAACAAGTATACATGCCATGGACAGATCCTCTGCCTAATATGCTGCATCCCCAGCTATCCCTCGAGTTCGGAAGTTGAGGGCTGAACATTTTTGTTCTGTATCAGCCATTTTTTTTTTTTATAAATTTGTTTCTCTCATGCGAGTGTCCTTTACTTCCAGGTGATAAGAAGCAGAAAATGCTACACCAGCGAGTGTCATCATCCATGAGGCCTGATTTCGTACAAACCTTAACCGAAGACGTGTATTTCTATCAATTCATTGACAAACTGAATCGTCATAATTTTGTAAGTTTAATATATAGATTTATTCAATTTTTTACATCTATATCCCACAACACTCTTAGCTTTTGGTCCATGCAAGGCTAGAAAGTCCCAAGGTTTGTTGCTCAGTTCGTCCATAGCACAAAGACTCCTTCGATTACTCTGAGGACTGGAAACAAAACAATAACTGTTTCAATGCGTGGGAGGCAATTTACGGACAACTGGAACATCTTTGTGGCAGAGCACCAACTACAGTTTCGAGAAGTTTTGGTCTTTGTTCCTGAATCCGTTACTACCTACACTTTTTTAATCTTTGATAGACACGGTGCAGAAAAACATTTCCCATGGTATGACAGCTTTTATGTGTATTCTATCATGGGAGATGCGACAACTTAGTTTTATCCTAATGACTTTTCTAATGAACGTGTAGTTTGAAATCACCATGTATTCCTTTGTTGTCCATTTTCTCCGTGTATGTTTGTGGTGCACATCATGCATTTCCCTTTAAATAAAAGTTACGTATTTTACACCTATCCTTACAAATATATTCCTTATTCATGAATGCACTTTATATAGCACCCTTTACGCTCTTTCCTATACCATGAATCATTAACATAATCTCTTCAATTAATCCGATTAAAAAATTCATAGCTCAATTTTAAACACTGATTGCATGACAACAAATGCTGTCTAGCTTTTGATCCTGGGCATATAAACAATTTCCCACCGTGTGCAAGCACGGTGATCATCTCCTAGTAGTGATTAAGTTCATTTCGAAGACGACGACATTTTATTATAAACAATGAGGGGCCGGCTGGGAACTCGGGCTGAGAGGGCAGCCGTCCCCAGGTTTTGAGATTCTTCTTTTAGCCCCTTGAAAATTAAAAAAAAAAAATTCTTTTAACTCCTAGGAAGTTTTATAAGTTTGGAAGTCTTTTTCTTACCCCTCCAATAATTTGACAAAATTCTATTGCCCCACCTCCTCCTAGTATTTGCTTTATGGAAAATTTGAACTTTCACTTTTTTTTTTGAAATAAATACTCCTCCAATTGCCTCCCCCTCATATTGATAAAGGAAGAAGAAAAGTTTGATTTGGCATATGAAGAAAATATAATTGTTGAAAATTTTATTGGTTCGGACTCTCCTCAAGGTGATGAAAAGATATTTTGATTTGATAGATATGGATTTCATCGGAATTCAAAGCTCCAAAAGAGTTGATTGACAATATGAAATTTTTGGATGATTGTGGTGCTAGTGGCTATTCTGAATTATTTGGTGATGATAATTTTGGCAAGAGAGCAACAATCTATAATTTTGTATTTTTGGACACTTACATTGGTGGTAAATATGGTGACTCTGATGATGAATGGATTTGTATGAATGAATACTTTAATCAAGAAGAAATTGCTGAGAAATTGTTTGCAAAATACAAAGTGCGTCCACTGTCACATATAAAAATGGAGTTAATAACCGACAACAAGATGGAGTTGTATGTCAACTATACAGTGATACAGATTTGCATAGAGATTGTTGCTCGAGATGGTGTTGGACCTTCTGCCTCAATGGCGAGCTTGGTTTAAGAGAAGCAATATTAGCAAACTAAACTAAGTCTAGAACCATTTATTTATTAGTTTTATTAGAGTCAGTTTTTTAGTAGTTGTATGATTTAAGAATTTGTATTTTACTTGGTAATTTCTTATGCAAGTGGTTTCTTTTCCAACAAGTCCGGTAGGTTATAAATAGGATATTAGTTTAGACTATTTTCTTGAAAGAGTCTAGAAGAATTTGTCAAAATTAGTTACTAATAGTTAATTAGCGCTTTAATTATTCAATCATTAGTTATTCAATCATTAGATACTGGTTTCTAATAAGACATAATTTTATTAATGGAGATAAGTGTAATTTTACAAACATCATAGGAGGCCGGTGAAATTGAAAAATCTCAGAGGAGGTTTCTTAAATTATCCCTTTATTCTTCCAAATTCTCTTGAACTCAATCAAAAGTTTGAAAAGTACATCAAGATTATCGTGTGTACTATGAATGGAATATTACTTTTTCTAAACAAGCTCATCCATTACAACATAATAGCAATCAAACCCTTGAAGATTTTACTTTTTTAAAACCAACTAGGGGCCAAAAGCTACAAAATCACGTCATTTAAACCCATTAAACTTTTAAATTTACCATTCACCTCCCGCCCGGCGGGGGACCAAAATCACAGTAAAAGTTGGAGATTTTGTAGAGTACAGCATTGTGCAATTTTGTAATATTTGTGAGCCAAGCTAATGATATTTTGCACAACTTTCAGGACTTGAGTGCAATTAATTCCAAAAAAGAATTAATAAAATACGCAGATAAAAGCGTCCTCTCCCCTGACCCTGAGCCCCTGACCGCTGTCCTTCCTCCCGTGTCCGGTACAACGCAGGTTCTTCTCCACACTCTACTCAGCACTGCCATTACCAAAACTACCCCTACGCCCCTGCTATTTTTCTCTTCCCATATCGTAAATATCCCCAAAAAGACATTACATTTCCTTTTTTACCCCTCCCCACGCCATTTTTTCTCCCGACGCCGGTACTTTTACTCTCACACACACTCACGCACTACCTAAGACTCTCTGCATATATATATTTTATAGGGTTAGGGTTTTTTTTTCCTTGTTTCATAGCAAAAAGGAGGAATAATCTGTAGGGGTAATGCTTTAAATTGAATTCAATTTCGAAAATTAATCGAAGAAACGAGGAATGTATACTCCAGTGCAGTTGGTGGGGCCGACGAACGGCCACGGTCAATACTCCAGCCATGGTGGTGGAGATGATGTCAAGGCCGCCGTATTTGGAGGCGGAGGTGGAGGAAGGGAATCGATTGAAGACACTGAGATTGTGGGCTTTGAGGATGGTGGCACAATTGGGGGTTTGGATGGAATCGAAGTCTCGCTTCCGCAAAATACCACCTTGTACGGTGGTGGTGGTGGTGGTGGTGAAGGGGTGGCAATGGCAATGCCGCACGGCGGTGATGTTGCGAACCAGCTTACGCTTTCGTTTCGTGGCCAGGTTTACGTGTTTGATGCTGTTACCGCTGAAAAGGTGAGCACTTTGTGGTTTAATCATGTGGGATTTTTTTTTCCTTTTTGCATTCTTATAGCTCCATTTGTTATGGGAAATATGAAGTCTTGAGGATTTCTAATCCACGTGTCTACTGATTTTGACGGGCTAATGTTGAATTTAGAGCATTCTGTCTACTTAAGCAGTGGAAAAGTAAGGCGATTATAGGCTGTTATGTGGCTTCTTATGATCTTATGGGAAATGATTTTAAGTAATAAGTAGAATTTTGTTCTTTTTTCCTGAAAAGGGGAAAATCTTTTTGGTCACTCATCATTCCTCATTGTGGCATAAACGACAGCATTTGTTCTGCATCGCTTAATAGGCGAGAATTTGGCTTTTGGTTTGATCAAATGAAAGCGATTGCAAAATTCCAGACATCATTTCTAATATTGATAGCTAAACGAGAACTATTTTTTATTGTCCAACGTAGAAAATTTTGTCTTAATGTGCTTACCCAATTTAAGTAAAACTTTGATAAAGCAAATTGATTGGAGGATACCTTGGGTGATTGATTTGGAATTGTTTTGGTATCATTTGACTGCAGGTCCAAGCAGTACTCTCACTTTTGGGTGGATGTGAATATACTCCGGGTACTCAAGCAGTAGACTTGCCATATCAGACTTCAAAGGTATAGATGAGCTGTGCCAGTTCATTCACCTCTTTTGAGTTGTTCGATACCAAGCCTGAATGTCTGACTTCTTGCTTCAGAGTTTGATGGACTATAGTGGGCGGTGCAATGATCCAAAGCGGGTAGAATCTTTGAATAGATTTCGACAGAAAAGGAAGGAACGTTGCTTTGATAAGAAAATCCGGTACAATGTCCGTCAAGAAGTTGCAATGAAGTAAGCTGGCTTTTGTTATTCTCTTCGAGTTAAATAGTTTTTGTAGAACAGAGTAACTTGCTTCCATAATTGTGTTCTTTAGCAGCGTCGTTTTGGTTGAAATGATTGTTTTCGCTTTAACATTATGATGGGCATATCTCAGCACGGAAAAACTGCTCTTTTATGCATTTGAACTTTCATTTTAAGGTTTAGAAGTTTGTAATCTCTGTAATTTCGTGTTGCAACGTGTCACAGAAGATTCTGGTAGGGCTAGGTTTGAATTCATTAAGAATCTTTGACAGAATCTGATGTTAGTTCGGCATAGAGATTAAGGCTAACATAGTGGTCATACAGATGGGTTTTCCTTGTACTTTCTTGGGAATATGTATTTAGCATTGAGTATATTTGTATCCCTCATCACTTTGCTTGCTGCTTTGTAATGCAGAAAGGTTTACTTCCTGGATTCCAAATTAATAACTGCACTTATGGAATTATTTCTCTATGAAACAGTAATATGACTTTGATAGATGGAGCTTAGTTTCCACTTCTACACTTAATCAAGCTATGTACACATCAAATTCTCCAAGGAATGTTCTGATAAGCATCGAATGTATTTAAGGTTACTCAGAGATACCAACACCTTGTAACACTTTCTATGCTGATGGATATGCTTATTTTAAGCATGTCACTTAAAGCATTTTGAGTATGTTTTTCTATCTTTCTGAAAATGCTTCTAATGCGATATTGGATTGAGCAGCAAGGTAAATTATTTATATTAGTTAATAATCTGTGGTATAAGAGGGAAAAAAATCCGGCCTTTTAAACTTAAATGTGCCAGTGAATTAGTATGATTCAATCATGCATCCTCCAAAAGATTAAGAAATTGTTTAATCAACCCTTATACGCCTATAACTACTGATGACAGAGATTCTAACATCTTCAGTTCTACAAATGGTATACAACTTCTGTTGTCAGTTGCTCTTCCTGACTAGTATGCCTCTTATCAATTCCATTAGGATGCAGCGAAAGAAGGGCCAATTCGCCCCGAGGAGTTCTGAGGATTCTGTTGCTTGTGATGTTGCCGAAGAGTCTGGACAGATTGATAACCCACCAGAAACCTCGTGAGTTCTATCTTACTTAAAAGAGTTTACATTCTGTTTCATTCTGAAGTATGCAACAAAATTTTGGGCTTGCATCTTGCCTTTGATTTGGTAATGCCACAAACTTATAACACGTTATAATTTTTGGCACATGACTTTTTTTATACATTTTTTGTATTTTCGCCTCAGTGCTATGCATTGATTTCTTATCCATTTCAATCATTTGTCTTCTTTTAGATGCACACATTGTGGTACAAGTTCGAAGTCAACTCCAATGATGCGGCGCGGTCCAGCTGGTCCTAGAACTCTTTGCAATGCATGTGGGCTTTTTTGGGCAAACAAGGTTGGTGTACCTCTAAAACATTGCCTCTCAGTTAATTTTATTCTGCTTCATTGGAAATTAAGATATTGAGTATGTAGTACTTTTTGTTGACGTAGTTTATATTAAATAATCCACTAATTGGTGAGGTAGTAGTTTGCTTCATACCTGGATTCCATTGAACCCAGTATTCATCTTCCAACATTTTAGGTGGGTTAAATTGTCAGAGTTGTCATTTGAGGTACTGATATGATTCCACAGATATTTGGCTGACGTTTTGCTCAATCATAAATTATGGCCTGGACTGTGACCAAATGAACACCTGTTTCCCTTCGTGGGATGGACTGGGAAGCCATGTTTTAGATATTACCTGGATCTTTTGATCACTCTATCACATCCTGTAATCAATCTGTAACATGTTCAAAGTTCATTAATTTATTATACTGGATACTGTACATTTGTATAGGCTTTTTGAATATGCTGGATTGTCTATCATTTTATAGCTTACCTACTTTTGTGCCGATCTGCAGGGAACATTGAGGGATCTTTCCAAGAAAACCCATGCTGTGACTGAAGAGGTAATTACTTTTGGAGGGGTTTTATCAGAGCAGCTAGCTCTTGTTGCATTTACTTGCAGTCACCTCTGACATAATGCACATATTCCCTTGTCACCTCTGATTACCCTCTTTGCCATGTATGTAGGACGAGGCTGATAGTGACTCTGACTATGGAACTCCCATCAGTGCACGTGGTAATCTTGTTTCATTCTCCACCAGTACCAGCTCAGCTGTAGCAGCGGAGCAATAAATTAAAGCATTGGCAGGGTTAGCAGGCACATTATTGACCTTCTATTACCTGGGCTGATAGAAGGTTTTAACTAATCAATGTCAGCCTGTTCCCCAACTGTACAGTCTTGGTTTATATTAGATGACATATAATCTTAAATACTAGCTATGATGGTTTAGAAATTTAGGATATCCTGCTTGGAAGCCAGAGAGATATACTTTTAAGTGAAGCATGTTGGCGCTGCACTTGCAGGTCAATTACTAGATATAATTTTCAAAGTTTGATGCACTTAATGCACTGCTGCTGAACTTATTGTGGTTAAACAGGATCATGTTTTACTTCAATACTTCTGCTGCTGCACAAATTGCCTAGTTTATAGACGAGAATACAAATTGTAAATCTCTAACTTATCCAGTAGCTTTCGGCTTTCACATGCAATTATCATCTTTGTTATGAATTTATATGGCAACTTGCCTTATTTATCTTTTGCTTTGGCTTCTTTTGCTATTCTGGTGCTCTCTTTCTTATTATTCCGATGACCTGTTTGCCGTTGGTATTCCAGATGTAGGAGCCCAGCACTTGGTATCCAATTACTGCGGGAAATTTTGAGTGACCTCTGTTCCTTGCACTGTTCTAGTAATTATTAGCAGTTATGCCATTTCTTAGGGAAAAAAAATATAAAATATCGTAATGCTTAGGTCTTATTTGGATTGCCATTTTTTCTCAAGAAAATCGAAAGATTTGCCAATTTGTTCTCTCACATATTCGATAAAAACTTTTTTGGCCCTTAAACATTTGAAATCAACCAAAATAGGTCCTTAGATATAAAAATGTTCGCCTGTTTGATCCTAAAATTGATTTTTTTTTTCTTATTTTTCTGATCAAAAAGTGCACGCTTCTCTCACATATCTATAATTTCAATGGCTAAAAGGGCAACACACTTTGCTTCCTACTAAAAAAAAAAAAAAAGAGGCACCGCCCTTTCTTGCTCCCTATCTACTCATTTTTAGCCACTAAAACCCTACTTCTAAGTCATCAAACCCCCCATTGAAGAGGAAAATTCCACACAGCTACTCACAAGTAATAGAAGAAGAGCAAGAAAAGAAATTTAAGAAACTCACTCATGGAAGAGTACAATGAGAAAAAATAATGATTGACGTCATTGTGACAAATAACCCATTATTTGTAACTTCTTGAAAACTTACAAATGTGAGATGAAGATTCTATGCCCATCCAAAACATGGAGTAAGTTTAAATACATTTCATTTTGGTTGGCTTTGGACAAAAACTGCGGAGAGAGAAGAGAAAAATGTGAGAAAGGAAGGAAGAAATGGTAAGGTTCATTTTTTTTAACCTTTTAAGTCACAGATAAAGTGTTATTTTCATTTTAACTCTTAAAATTATAGCCACATGAGAGGGGCGTGCATTTTTTATCTTCAGAGGGATTATTTTGGCTGATTTTAAATATTATGAATAAAAAAGTTTATTTTCAAAAATATGAGGGACTATATTAGCAAATTTATATTTTTTTTGCACATATTTTTTAATTATTTTTGTATTTTATGTACATCAAATCATTATTATGCATTTTTTTTTTTACAAAATTTAACAAAATAGTAATCCAAACAAACTCATCCCCCAAATGGATTTTCATATCCGGACCCACCCACCAATTAAAGTATTCCTCAACAATTCTTCCACGAACCACTTGTCCCTTCCTTTTATGTATATATGTATATATATATATTTTTTGCTATTTTTTGCATATAAAATAATGACCACTACCAAATCTAATCCAAAACGCTCGTCTTCTTCATACATACAATGCCACATTATCCGTTCTCCCAAGCTATCGCTGGGTCCCGCTACACAACCCAAGAATCAACCGCACAAACTCTCTCGGGAGCACCATAAGCAATGCATCCGCGTCGCTCCGTATCATTCCTCCTCCATGCATAATGATTTTCTTATAAAATTAAGCCAACGATTTTACCAAATCAAAGTGTCTTCAATTCAATGAAACAGACCCCGGGGCATATCCTGCAAATTTTTACCTTTTTATGGTCTTCTTAATAAATATATTCTACTGTACGGAATACATTTAATCTTTTCGTATATGTATACGTACGTATACCAGTGCGTGTCTGTGTGAGAGAGAAATGATGGAGAAAATGGAAAGATAAAACGCCAACGAAAGGTGATGATCATGAAGAACCTCTTCTTTCTTTTTTTTTTTTTTGGTTCGATTTAATGGTGAAATAATGATTAATTGATTAGTAATTTTTTAGTTATGGCGGGGATTCCTAAGGCAATGAAGGCGCGTCACTACGATGACGGCGGCGACGACCGCGTGGACGACGAGGACGAGGAGGAGGAGGAGGAGGAAGAGGAAGACGAGGACGAGGACGAGGACGACGACGGAGGAGGAGATGACGTCATGAGTGACGTCAACGAGGTTCATTTGAACTCTGTAGGTAATCATAATCACCGCCACAAGCAGCAGCAACAACACCAACACCACAGCCACCGCGCAGGAGGTGGTGGTCAGGTGGTGGCGACGAGGACGAGTGAGCTCACTCTTGCTTTTGAAGGTGAAGTCTATGTTTTCCCAGCTGTCACTCCTCAAAAGGTAACTTTTTTTTTCCTTTTTTGGTAGTAAATAGTAATCAGTAATTTACATGATAAGGTTGATCTTAATTTTTTTTTTTGGTATGAGTATGTGTTTTTGGTGTTGTCCGTGTATTGCTGTTAATGGAAAGTTGATGGTGGTGAACTTTTATTGGCGTGTTTCTTTATTTGGTGAGATACCTACACTGTGTGTGTTTGTGCGTGTTTTTAAATAGTCCATGCGCATGCTTTCCTCGTCAACATCGTTTTTTCCTTCAGAAATATTTTGATCTCTAAGAAGAAACTGCTAAGCAGTAGGAAAACTCTAATTTTCAGAGGAATGAGTATTTATTATTAATGTCTTTGAATATGATGTTCGTGATCGTATCTTCATTGACGATGTTTTCTGCTTTTATCTTTTGATAAAGTGGGAAAACTTTTGTATGAATATGATGTTTGTTTCTTTCGGAAAGAATGTGTTACTATTTTTTCAGCTTCTGTTCCGGACTTTTATGTGTGTTTTTAGTCTTTTTCCTTTTCTAAGGAATATGTGTTATGATGCTAATCATTTTATGACTTTTGCTCCGTTTATGACTCCTCACTTAGTAAATCCAAGTTCTTAATCCTCCCAAAGGGTAAAGCATCTTTATGAATTTTCCCAGTTCTTTTGAGCCTTTTACCTTGATATTTGTTGTGGCCTTCATTGGCATGACCTGATTTTTAAACAAGCTCCCTGCTAGTCTTTGATTTTAAGTTAACTTACAGAAGTAACAAAAGATATGGGCATTGGCGTAGAGTCATTGTGAGGATTTTTGGTTTTTATTCTTTTTTGTTTTAACTTTTTTATTTATATTTGTCTGTTGGCTATTGGCTTGTAGCGTCATGTATGTCCAAGAATCTTCAATGAGGGAATGATATGGCATGTTATAGTCCAAGATTTTTGGAATCTAAGTTTTGACTTAAAACAGTGATTAAAATAGAGAGTAGGCAGGCATTCTGCAGTGAAAGCAGCTACTTTCTGTATAAGCAACTTGGAGCACTGCCAATATTCATCTTTTATGGGATAATATTGTCATCAGAGAGTAATTTGTTGCTACATGCCTCACAAGCAGGTGCAAGCAGTTCTCTTGCTTTTAGGTGGACGTGATGTACCTACTTCTGTTCCTGCTAATGATGTCATCTTTGATTCAAATAGAAAGGTATTTCTTCAGTTGACAGCATCAAAGCAATTCCTAATAGTTATTAGATTGTTGTTTCATGCACTGCTCTGAATAACTCTTTTAGGGTGTGGATGATACACTGAAGCGGTCCAATGTCTCAAAAAGAATAGCTTCTTTGGTTAGATTCCGTGAGAAACGGAAGGAGAGATGCTTTGACAAGAAAATTCGCTACAGCATTCGCAAAGAAGTCGCTCAAAGGTGTATAATTATGTGGTTATTTGCGTATTTTGCTCATAGAAGCTTATTTCATCTCTTAACTTCTATCTGTTACCCTGATATATGTTCATCCTTGTATTATACATTAATTTGCTTTAAGTATAGAGTATTGATGGTCTTTAATCTTTTTTGGCGGTTTATGTGACTCCAATAATTTTTGGTAGATAAATTTGGTTACTTGAATGTTTAAAATGGATTGGAAGGGACAGACACTCCTGCAATTAAAGATTCTGGCATTTTAATTTTTGAAAGACTGAAGACTCTGCAAACTTGTAGATTTCTTTCTGCTGCCTGCTTCCCTCTTAGGCTTCTCTGCTTAGAAAGGAGTTTGCAGATTTATTAAGGGCTTCTTGCTTAAAACAACGGGCAATGAACAGAACCAGGGCATCCATTTTAACTAGGTCAGCACTATTTAAGGAAAACAACCTAAAGGAGGAGCTGTCTCACAATTCAGCCAAAAGCTCTAGTGATTGGGGTACCAGGACAGTTTCTGTTAGAATAAAGATCAACCTGAACTAAAGTATTACAAAATTAACCCCTAAAATCATTCAAAATTGCCAATTGCACTTTTCTTCCACATTTCCATGGTAATATTTGCTCCAGCAGAGAGATATCTATGATCCTGACTTTTACCATGATATAACTTGATTGTGTATTGTCCTCTACCAGAATGCACCGCAAGAACGGTCAGTTTGCATCAGTGAAAGATGGTTCTGGTTCTTCTAATTGGGTTTCATCAAAGAATAACCTTCAAGGAGATGATAAATCTCATCCAGAAACTGTGTGAGTTGCCTCTTCTATTTGAATTTGTTGCTTCAGCTATTGGAAGTTTTGGTTTTTTTTCCCTCTTAAAACAGTATGCGAAAGTTAGTTTTCCTTCTACTTTTTTGCAAAATTTACAGTCTTTGTAGATGTCACCATTGTGGTGTTGGTGAGAATTCTACTCCTGCAATGCGCCGTGGTCCCACAGGACCAAGAACTCTATGCAATGCATGTGGGCTTATGTGGGCAAACAAGGTGCATAACATCTTCATAAAGATTTTACTGGCTTAATTTCAAGGTCACATGTTCTTAAATATGTTTTTTGGGGAAATTGAGATTTCCTGTAACATTCCAGTTTCTTGCAGTTACTTTTTATCCTGTGTGCCTCTTTGTTAGGCAGCTGAACAACTTGATTTGTTCATTCTTATCTTCTTCTATGTGCTGAAGTAATTCACTCTTTAGCTTAGACATTGTTTTCAAACTTCAAGATGGATGTAAATGACACAAAAAGTAATGTATCATGTAAAAGATGGCTTAGTCAATCAAATCCCGATTTTGGCTGTTTGGTTATTTTGCTTGGTTTTATTTGTGATGAAGTTGGCTTTTTTAAGGAAATTGTGCTTTTTATATGTCATACACTAGGTAGATCTCTTTGAATCTAATTAAGTGAGAAATCATTGAGAGGGAACTACTAGCGTTTTCTATTTTTATTTGTTTAAGGGTGAGCACAATTTTGAAGCCATGGGTACAAAAGCAGTATATTAATTCCTTATCCTGTTAGTTGTAAGAAGTGATTTCTCCTTTTCCTGCTTCCATTTTTAAGAGACCTTGGCTTAAGAGAGACAGATAGACATCTGGAAGTCCTAAACTTCAAGGAGTTGTTTAATTTGTAGAGAGATGCATGGTACATTTTCAATGTCAGGTTGCAACAGATAAATAGATGTTTGAATTTGCTAACAAGGTTGTTTCTCGTGTTTTACTTTTTTCGTCTCTGTGCAGAGATATTTAGGTATCAGGGAAGCTCACAAAAAATTTTCTCATCGAGTTTTTTGCTTAATATTTACTTGTTATCACTCTTTCTCTCTCAAGCCATTACAAGCTATTGTAGTTTCTATCGCCTTTTTTTTTTTCTGAAGTTGATTGCTTTTATGTTTAGTTTATTTAGTTTCCCTATGATTCCTGGTTGTTGCTTTCTGTTCTATTAAAAAAAATCATCATTTTAATTTTGGAATTCGTAATGTTTTGATTTTTTTTTCCGTAGTTTATGCCATTCATGTTATATCCTTGGTTGAGCAGGGAACACTAAGAGATCTGAGCAAGGGAGGGAGGACTAGTTCTTTACACCCTGTGGAACTGGTATTGCTTTGACTAGCATGGCTAAAAATTTATTTGGTGCATGGCAACTGAGTTCCATCCTCACAGCTGACTGAATTTTTTTAGTTCCATCTTCACAGCTGACTGATTTTTTTTTCCAATGGCCACTTAGTCACTTAGTTTGACATTTGTTACTAAAACTTGCTACCTTTCTTTGAATCATCACCAGATATCCATCATATGCATTATAAGCCATTCCAGTGACCAAATGTCATTTTATAATTGCATCACAATATTCATTGTGTGTACAGGGGACCCCTTGTGACATCAAGCCTTTAGTCCTTAAAGGTGAAAATTCTTCTGGCAACCAGTATGAACATGTATGTCATGTGTGGCTTGTTAAGGAGGCGTTTGATTAGTATAGTTATAGTAGTCCTGATGATATTTGCACTATATGCAGGCAACTCCTTCAAAGGCTTTAACAGATGGAACTGACAAGTATTCTGCCAATCCAGATGAAGGGGTATGCACTCATGTTTAACATGACGTTGCAATCTGTCAATGCTCTGAGCAGTTGAAGTCTCATGGATGAATTACAGTCTTGATTTTCTCGAAAGTGTCAAATTTGGTTAAAATTGGCAATCCTATTATTTCTGCATGAATATGTTGCTTTTGAAGCATTCTGATTTAAGCGGTCCAATCATTAGCTCGTATTATTTTTTGTGCGTATTTTTAAAGTGGTATTTTTTTCAGTCAAATAATTCACCAAATCACCTCATTTGTGAACATTATATCTTTGTGAAACTCATGAACCTCTCATCTTGGTTTTGTCTGTGGCCTAAAATGGTCATGCCTTCCCCTTCTGCAGCATCTTCGTGGATCTGGTGAAGATCTTGCAAATCATGTGCCTGTGGGGATTCCAGCCTCTTCTGGCGACCTTAACGAGCAGGTAATGCATGTGATTTTCTACAGCTCTGGGGATTTTGTGCAGTCCACGATTTTCTTATTTGGAAACTCTCCACCACAGGATGGTCTTCTTGATTTTACAAGTACATCAGAGACAGAAGTAGATATCCCCACCAACTTTGGTGAGTAGTTTCACTCATTCCACTCGTGGGTGCATCGAGTTCCCTGTAAATTCGTTCCTCTTGTTTTCTGTCATGTAGCATTAGATTTATTTGTACCTTCATAAGGACGACCCCGTTGAATGGGCGCACCATCACTGCTGTGATGATGCTCAAATTCTTGAATGAGGTGCTCTGTGAGAAAACTAACAGTTAGTGTAGTGTAATTGCGGTTGTTCATAGGAGTTGGTGTTGTTAAAACAAGCATTTGAAGACAATGTTAGTGTATGAGAGTGTAATTATTGATGTGTATTGTGGATAAGCTATCAGTTTAAAACATCATTGTTTCGTTGGGCAGCTCTCCGTTTGACAACATTGATGTTTGAACCGGTGAGGTCGATTGCATGGTTTTAGACTTTCTTTCTTGAGCTTATGATTTCTGACCTAACTTTGATCTGCACCGTGTACGCTTGGTTTGGGTGATACCTGCTATTCCTTACCAAATCCCAACCCGAATGGGAGAAAGGAGAAAAAGACTAGTCAAGAATGATGACAAATGGGGAAACAAAGATCTCGTTTTCAACAGCTGCCTTAACCCAAGCATGTAACTTGCCCTCTTCCTTAAAACAAGAAAGAATAACCTAATTCCTTTCTCTTGACCGAAAGAAGTTGATGGAGAAAAGGAAGTTTAACTCCGAAAGAAGCACTTCATGAAGCCTCCTGCAATTTGATTGATTTATTTATTCCATTTTATTTATTCGGATACAGTCGCTTCCTTCTGGACCTTATCTATGATCTTAGGCGGAAAGGAGTTGAAGGGCCTTCTTTTTCACAAAGCTCTGTTAGAGAGGAAGCAAAATGAAAATGCTCAAGCCATTAAATATAGAGCCTGCATTAGAAATATTCTTAACGCACAAAACATGTATGTTGCGTCCGCTGATTTGAGTCAAGTTGCATTGAATCCTAAATCTAATGCTTAGCAATCTTTAATGTAATGTTCCATATGTACTTGTTTACTATCAAATAACAATAACTGAAGTCAGTGAAACACAATCAAATCGTCATTCTACCAATGGAATCTTCGATGAGCTCTGCTAATTATGCTATCCTAGCTTCGGCTTTGGGCTGATCCCAAGCAGAGCTTGAAACAATAGATTTTACATGTTCAGAATCATATTTAGTCTGAGAGATTGAAGGCAAGTAAAGTTACATACTGTCAAAGCTATAGCGTACTTAAATTTCTTTTAGTTGATTTAGAAAACTAACTCAGGTTAGAGGTTCAGGGGTCATTTTCTTTCAGCTGAATTTTAGATTAATTTTTTTTTATAAATATAATTATTTCATTTCATAAGGTCTACACTAATGGTAGAATATATCTCAAAACATGCGGCAAATGCAAAAACAATCATTACAACAAATCTTTTTTGGAAAAAAAAAAATCAGCTGATTCATCGAGTTTTAGTGAACTTTATATTGTTGTTCTTGGCCCAACTTGTTTTTGTATATTTGAACCTGCTGCCATTTACTTCCCCTATCAAGGTTTTGACGCAAGACTGGAATCAAACAATTGGTACAAATTGTTCATAAACCCCGTAAATTTGCTGGGAAAAAAGTGCATGAATTTTGGTGCAAAATTAAAATCTATTTGCAAAGACCAAACAAAATCTGTATATCAGAATTTTGTTCCCAGAAAGGCCTAATTATATAGGAACATGAAATGCCAGCTTCACCATCTCTGTTCTGGGTGCTGTATTGAGTGACGAGAAGTAAAACACAACTTACCTGCCTGACATAGTTACAGATTTTCTATGCCTCAGAAAACAGGTTTCTTCAATCGCCTGTCAGAATACTCACGCAGAGAACTTCCTTTCATTCCATCCCCGAAGTGCTTATACTGGAAGCAGACAACAATGAGGGCTTCATTTTATTTCTTTTGCTTTCGTATTATGTACATCTTCACAACCCACCTTTCCAGTCTAATACTTGAAAGATTAGAAAGGCAGTCGCAATCTGTCGACTCAAGAGAGTCGGACCGAGTCATTCTACCGTTCAATTTACAATGAATGCTTGTTAAAGGTGACCAGCTAAAGGGTGATTCCCCTTCAAGGAAAAAAAAGCATCTCTTGCAAAAGAAATGATGGACGGCCGGCATATTTCTCGTCGATGAGTGCTTTGGGTTGCTCCTCCAGAATCACATTAGAAGCAGCCATAATTGGCACAAGGAACATGAAATCTGCCTAATATTTTATTGAAGGTCGTTAGCAAGTCAGAAAGGTCAAAATTGTCATCGTCTTTTGTTTGAATAGGAAAAATGACGTCGAACCATATTTTCCCAGCATCCAAAAGCTATCAGGAGTACGGTTCCAGCCAAATAATCTCTGCTACTCATTAAAATCCTCATAAGGCGAGGATCCACTTGAAGAATCACTTTCATATGCTGTCATTTCTCTTGGTGACGAGGGAAGTGAGTCTCTCAGCTGGGAAGGTAAACCTGTTGGAACAAGGATGGATTATATGAAAGCTATCCTGTCAAGTAAGCTAGAATGTAAAGTGACTTGGGACTATTTCTCCAAGAACTCAAAGACGCACAAAATATAAAAATTTTCCAAACTATTTACTGTGAAAAGATGAAAATGTTAGAACAGGCAAAAACAACAGAGTAGATGCACAAATCAAGGAAGAAAAGGATTTGGCTGTAGATTATTAAGGGGAAAAAAGGATTCGCCCTGGGTATCATCTCTATGAGATTAAAGTCTAGATGCAAGATAAAAAGTGGTGGAAGACCCCATAATGATATATCTTCAAGAATTTCACTGAAAGCAGCCGCTGAAATTAAGACGGGATACAGACCTTTCTGTCCCCTGGACCGGAACTTTTTGGTATGTCTTCTGATTAACCTCTTTGCTTTAGTTATGGTTAGTTGTCTTGCGAATGGAGAGAAATCAGCTTCACTTTCACTCCAATCTGCATGCAACTCATCATCTGCTTCACCCCTCATTGTTCGGAGAACAAAGGCCTTGGCCTTGCGGCGCTGAGTATTGAAAAGCCCCCTAATGGAGGTGACAAATCCATCACCTGCTCCATCACTGGGACGTTTAGGCCAGGATAATGGATAGGGATTGGATTTGCCAGCTGAACCTCCATCACTGTCGCTAAAATTCAGATCAATATCAGGAACACTAGTACCAGTGGCTTCTTTCTGATTCTGTGCTTTATCTTTAAACTTCTTGCCCTGTACACAAACAATTGTAAGAAAATTGGTCAAGGGAAGAAACAACCACCAGTCCTGTAACCAGTCCTTTTGATGGGAAAATCACACCAGAAAGGAATTAATAGACTTCTTTTTCTCTTTTATTGCGTAATGGTGGAGGACTAATCCATCCTCCACTAGCAAAAAGAAACCTACTACTTAGTGTTTTAACAAGTACAGGATAGAACCATGTTTACCTGCATTCCAGTGACAGACTTCAAGACTCCCCAAATAATATGTTTCTTGACCCGCGAGAATAGCCGCCTCCAAGTTCCAGTATATTCACCTTGATGGAAAGTATCCATCAGCAACCTTAAATCACTGACAGCAAATCTTGATCCTTCATAAGTAACCAGCAGCTCAACCTACAACAAAAAGTTTGAGCATTTTGAGTACAAACATGACTCTGAAAGGACAAATGACTTGTTCATGAGAACACACATACCTGACTTATTTTGATGTTATGGAACTCTCTCATTCGCCGAGGTCTAGATCTTTTATCATCCTGTGCTTTTCCAACCTTTTTCTCTTCATGAGAGGAACGGCCAGGTTTTACATTCTTGGAGTCCCGCGTTTTGCTCTTGTTCGGTTCATCTGGAGGTTCGTCATAAGCAAAGGAACCTGTTTTGAAAGACGAGACACTTGGAGAATGAGCCTGCAATACAAGTTCATTAGCCACTGATTCTGCCACAGATTCCTCCCATGTTCTATCGAAGGAAGATGTTCGTCTAAGCTCTGGAGTTGAACCACAGACAATATTTGGTTTCAGGTTCTGCAACTTCGATGACTGTGCATATTTGGAATCCACACCACATGCGATAGAAAATTAAGTAAGAAAAACATAATACTGGACAAAACTAAAACCACATAAAAGATTAAAAGCATGATCAAATTCCACGTATCTCAATTGGACATCCTTGAAAGCTCTAGTCTACACATATCAACTAGAAAAAGATAGTCAAACATGTTAGAACCAGAATCTCACTTGTGAAGAATCAGCATTAACAGATGACTGGCTGGTTGCAGATGTGGCTGGTTGTGAGGTATTCGATTTTGAGAAGAATTCGGTGTCTTTTGTTAAGTGGCTGTTTGATGTCAATGCCTCTTGTGATAATAAGCCTTTCTTGGCTCGTCTAGCACCAGCAGTAGTAGAAACCTTCCAAACTTCCTATGATAACCAAGAAATTGCAATATCATCTTCCGATGATAGCTACTGTAAGTAAAGTACTGCCAAGCCAATGGATGTTACAACTTACCTGCCGCCTCTGTGAGTCTTGTTCTTCTTCAGGGAATAAATACTCCCACATCATTCTGTACATTGTCTCAGTTAAGTGAATCTTTAAGGGGTAGATCTCCACCTACAGAAAAGAAAAGCACCTCTGTCTACAATCAAACCACTAACAATAATTTAATAAACATGCAAGAGAATGGAACTACTAATTTCCTACCAAACATCTGGCATTTGGGAAATGCTAAGATATTAACTAGATTATGTCCCAATAATATTGGCATCAGTAGCTACAGTGACACGGTACTTTGGCTCTTCAATCATCTCTCAAGAAGGTACATTCAAGCATTCTGTTTTACATCCACGAAACATCTTGCTTTGCACCTCACGTTAAAAGTTGGGAAGTGCAGAAGGCATCAATTACCTGGAATAGTTCTAAAGGAGAATTTCCATCCTTTGGAGCTCCTTGCTTTGCATCTACTCGAAGCATCGCTTTTCTGGAGGCAAATAAGATTAACAATGTAAATCACAAACTCCAGGTTGTTCTACGGCTTGAATTGCAAAATGGAGACATGTGACACAGTATGAGACATCAATTTGCAAATAGAAGTCTGCTAAAGCAACTAAACATCTTCATGCAATTTGGTCAATTGTGAATTGGCACATCACATGTGAAGAGCAACAAGGCATCTCATTGACCCTTTATCTCTCCTTCCTCTCCCTCTTGATATATAAAAATCAGTAAGCCCCCAAATAGGATCCATCAAAGAATTGAAGGCAAGCTTTGGTTCAAATTTTGGATCATCTACCATAAGAACAGGCTGGGCTTTCCAATCATGTTATAATATTTATGCAGCTAGCTCTTTCATGAAAGTTAATCAATTGATTTTGAAAAACATCCTAAAAGATTAGAAGAACATAACATTTACCAACACCAAGCTTTCTAACGGAATTCAATTCAACTCTCTTCCTTTCTGTCTAGCATTACTTTAATGTGCGTTTGATGACTAAAATGTACCAAGGACAAATATCTGCAAGTAAGGTCTGTTCACAAAGGATACACAAGCACCACAATCCCAAAGAAATCAGGCCACAAGTCTGTAACACGAATTACTATCTCCAGTGCAAATACACAACAAAGATTCTAGGAACAGGTTGACATCTTGATCTCCTAGATTTAAAACCAGGTATTCAAATGTTAAGATCTCTGGAAAAGAATGGATATAGAGGCACCCCTCGGGTTGTGGACATCTAAGGACTAGCAAGTACACAGCATACTAGTAAATTTATTTCCAAAGCTTAAACTTCTAAGTTTGAGAAAGAGGGACTTTGAATTGGGTCAATCAGCTGAGTTTTTTCAGTTCTGCTGCTCAATAAATCACAGGACGATTTTGATGCAGCAAAGCTCAATTGAAACCAGATGCCAAGTGATCTGAATCCACACCACTGCTGAATAGCAATGGAAAAAACCTGTTGACCTCATTAGTGAATACATTGGTTGACCAACTCAACTCAGTCCCAATCAACAATTGATGCACACACGACAAAAGTAGATCCAATAAAACACACCAAATATGAAGGTTAAAGTGTGACCCCGAATATTCTTTTGCCAGAGATCCCAAATCAAATGCTTTCCCATTTCACCAAACCATAACCTCCCTGCTCGTAATCGTTGTTGATTGCCCAGATGAGAACTATCTGTGTGTGTGTGGTTTATTTTGAAGTTCTTAAAAATACATCTACAGTAAGAACACTGATCGAAAAACCCAAAAACACAAACAGGCACACTATCACCCCCATCTCCTACAATCCTGCCACCCTCGCTTCTCCCCCTAACCCCCTAGTGCCGCCCTCTTCGTTCCCACCATCCATCTCGCTCCCTGCAGCCCCCCACCCCCTCCCTGTCACCCATCTGCCCCCTCTGTCTTCTCCCTTAACCCCTGGGCAGCCCCGCCTCCTTCCCCACCACCCCTGCAGCCCCCTCCCCCGGGCTGTAGTGTTGGTAAACAGAGGTGGCAAAAGTGGAGGATGGGTGAGGGAAGGGAGAGCTGGTGGACGCAGGAAGAAGTGGTGGAGATGAGAGGAGTGTGGTGCTTCCTTAAAATAAACCCCCCCCCCCAAAAAAAAACCCCAAAACACCTCATCCAAAAAGTTTTTAGAAAAACACGCACAGTAATGTTTTCCAAAAGTACCTGAAAAAACTCCAAATCCAAACAGATAGAACCAGCAACATATACATAAAAAGTCTGGGAAATGATAAGAAAACCCTCCACAAATAAAACAAAATGCACCGTTTAGCAAGAAAAAAAGATGCAAAGACCTAAAATAGTATCTGCCAACTCTAAAATTATGACAAATTATATATGTTTTCTAAATGACTTTGCTGTAAGGGAAGAGGCATACTTTCCCCACTCAGGAGGAGGATTCCATGCTGACAGAAGCATGTCTGACTTGGCATTAGGCAGGCAGTTCCTCACAACAAAATACTTTGTTGTAAACTGAGCAACACCAACATCTTTGTAATCCCTGTCAAAATCATAAATCTGCACAAGAAATTCAATCCAAAAGATTTCAACTAAGTTCGGAGATTCTAGAAAGGAGCAAATTCGTGCAACGCAATAAACTATTACATTTTAAGAGGAATCAAACAGGATAAAAAAATCTTTAAAAAAGGAAGAATAATGCCACAATAATTGACAAAAAAAAAAAGAGCAACATCTACTATTGGGAAAAAGGCCATATTGAACACAAAACAGCAAGAAAGATTAAAACTAATTCCTGCCCATGTCACTTGCAAGAAGGTGCTAAACAATCTGGCTAGAAATGTCAATAGCTGCACAACTTAGCGGTCAACTGGAAAGAGTTTGGAACTTGAAGTTAGGTGCAGAAACAGAAGGTACCTACTTGTAATTCACTAAACAAAAACATAGTCAATTTTGAAGCTCATTAATTAACGAGATAAATCTCTGCCATAAAAAGGCAGATGCTATCATGCCTAAGATAGTACTAATCCAAATTATCTATAGCCATTTCGTTGTCAAATTTATAGTTCAGATTAGATCAATTAATAGACTTTTAGGCCTTCCATTTACCACTGACCAATTTATTTTGCATGAGGACAATAAGGACTCAACAGATAAGTAAGTAGTACCCACTGACAGCATCCAATAAGGGGCATCCTATGTTTGCTACAAGTACTTCTATGTAATATTTATTAACTTGAACAGTTCAAGTACTTTCACCTAAAATCTTGTGCAGATCAAAGATGAGCAAATTAAATCACAAAACAGTTTCAGTTTGGTTTATGCTGGATCCATTTAATTTTGGCTTGCAATATTTCCAACCAATTAAATACACACACAACCCCCCCCCCCAACCAAACAAACGGGCCCAAAAAAAACAACCAATGGTGTTTAATCATAAAAATTTGTTTGGCTACAAGGCTCACCTAGTCTTGGCACCTTTTTTCTGTGTTTCATAGTGCATGTGAGTTTTTTTTATATCTGATAGATGACGAAAAATGTCACTTTAGTATGTTGTCCAAATGGAAAAGAGCAGATGCAATAACCGAGGAAGAGGTAGTCATGTGCAACTTCAACAGAATAAATGAGCTCAGAAAAACAAAATGAATACAGCAACGCGAAGTGAATGAGTCTGTCAGATGTTGCCATCTCAAATATGTGCTGGGAAAAAAACCTACTTACATTAGTTGTGTTTTTATATTGTTAACATACAAGATGGAAATTATAAGTATGTGCACTTTGGTAAAGCAAATATTGAAAAAAAACATTTACTGTTTATGAAGACTCACCATGTCGTTTATTTCAGCTTCAGCAAAAGATTTGCCATCAACAAGCATGCTCCACACCACTTTATTAATTTGCAGAGAGATGCGCATGGCACAAGATGGACTTTTGTTCTTCTCTTTTTCCATTAGGCGCAATTGCGCAGCTTTTTGCAGAGCCATCCTTAGAGAGGAAGAGGCTGCCTTTCTTGATTTTTGTGCATTTAATAGTTCTTTCTTTAGTCTATGTACCTGTACAAAAGAAGGTTTCTCAATTACCTATAAAACATAAAATGTCTACAGACAGGGCATGCATCAAATAAAAGTTCAGTCAAACATAAGTTATCCATGTAAACAGGTTACACTACCACTGTCTGATTACAGGACTATTGACAAAATACTCCAGTCTCTGCAGAACAGGCTCATGGATAATAGTCATTGATACAAACAGGTGAATATTACAAAATTGCACATGATTGACCATTAAAAGTGACAGAAGTATGAACAGCCAAGGAGGCCACCACAACTTGGGCATGAAATTCTCAGTCTCACAATAGAAGCATAGAGATCACTTGGAAACAGAAACTTGAAGCTAATAATTAAGGTTGCTTTCATTTGAGAATAAAAACTTCAAAGGTAAAAGTTGAATGTTGTAGCTTCAATGTATAGTTGCCATCCATGTAGGGAGGATAAATTTGTTCCTTCAAACAAATCAAGTAGACATCAGGTTACTATCACCTATTCATCTGTTCTATGGAATATACAGTTGCAATGCACCACTGTGAAAACATTTGACTCCATATTAGTGCTACTCGCCAAAGATTGAACTTTAATCACATTAAAAATATAGCAGCAGCCCAAAAACCAAGACTGGAGCTGAAGATACAGCACAAAGTTACTCACTAGTATGGTCCTTCCACCGACTATCATCCACAAATTATCTTCCTTTTCTGGGTGCACATCTCCAGAAGTATCACCATAAAGAGAGAGTTTCCTGATGTCATCAAGGATCAGTTTCTGTACTTGCTCTTTATGTTCAAGGTCAATTCTTGCCAGTTCTACCTCTTCTACCCCATCAGGAACAACTTCATCTGCCTCCTCTTCGACATCATCATCCTCCGCTGCATATGAAAGGCTACTTTTTCTAGGCCTGAATGACAAATGCCAATACAAGACTCAGAAGAGCAGAACTCCAAGAAAGTAACCTATAGCTAAATGGTATCAAAACTTCAAAATACAACTATCTAAGAACAAGGATAGAGTGGTGTAATGCCAGTCCAAGTGAATGTGCATAACTACTTTTTACATTTAGGACAGACCAAATAGTTTCAACGCTGTTTTGAGAGACCAAATAATTTCAACGTTGTTTTGAGAGCTCACCAAATTATTTAAATGTTCTATAACAACTAGTTTTACTCAATTTATGAACTGACTAAACACAGAAAAATTGAAACAAAATGAACAAACAGAATGCCAAAGCAGTAACTGAGAGAGAGAGAGAGAGAGAGAGAGATCAGTTATCCTTACTTTGGAAGTCTGGCAAATAGAAGATTAGTCAACACATCAAGCATAACCTGGAACTGCCGAGATGTCATAGTTGCAGTTATATTACGAGAGTTGAAAGTAAGCTCTTTCAATGGCTTCACCTGCAGAAACAAAATAAATAGCATAGGATATTAATGAAAGTAAACTAACAAAACAGCATAGATTTGGTGCATCATCTGAGCTAGTATTAACGGTTCAGGACTAGTACTGAAGAACAAATTTTTAAACAAAACTTAATGCTACACCTTCAAATCTGCTGTTCCACCTTTGTGCCTTGTATAGCGGAAGTACATATCACAAGGCATAAAAACTCTTTCAAGTAAAGCTCCAGTTCGCTTTACTTTGGGTGAGCTTCTTCGAATTTTTGGAAGCCACTGAAGTCCAGCCCCAGGATCTACATCAGTTGGAGCAACATGAGCTTGCACATGCTCCAACATCACAGAGAACTCCATACGGTTCCACGTCATTTCAGGTTCAGACTCAGGAATCTGAGTATTCCTTCCACCAAGTGCTTGTTCAATCATGTCATACCCAATGTGAAGAACAGAATGGAACGAACGAGCTAAAACACGCCCACTAACAGCAGCTAGCAGAAACCTACCCTGGCAGAAGGAAATCCAGGAGAGAGTGAAGGTAGTTCCAAGCTTGAAAGACTTTGGTGTTACATGCATCGAAATCATTGTTTCCAAATTTTAGCAAAAAATCCTTTTCTCCTTTTGCGATAAACCTAAGAGGGACATAACAAGAAATTCTACAAGATCACCAAAATGAAATACATCTACCAAAGCGGATTGACAACTGCAGTTAAATGCTTACCAAGGTGAAAAAGATTTAGAATGGCATGAAGAGCTGGGTCATAAATAGAGTATTATTCATCTTTAATTTCCTTTTGCAAATGAAGGAAAATGGATGAGAATTAAGAAATGCCACTTAAGTGGACCTACATTCGTGATAAACTTCAATCTTTCATGTTCAGTGGTCCAGAAGATGGAACTATAGCAAAGTAAAATCGTATGCACCATTAGCAAATTCAGAGATGCTCGCCATTGGAGAGGTGGGACCATGTTAGTGGTATAAGCTCATACACAAAGCACTATTAACCTATACTTCACTGAAGGGAAGAGAAATTTAATCATGCATTATTTCCTGATAAATATAAGTTGCATGTCAGCTAAGTTGAGAATATAGCAAGGTGATCCCATTAAGGAACTGGTACTTCAAAGAGGGAAAAAATGGTCAAAGCTACTATTCTGATGATAAGAAAGGTAGATACAAGCTTAACAAGCCCACAGAAACTAGAGATATAAAAGGCAGAACTCATGTGGTAGCTGGTATCACTATCAGTCAAGGAATAAAAAGATGATCGCAGATATAGCAAGTCCATGTGTACACAAATTTGTAAAATTCGATATTGCAAAGTTCATCCCAACAGAAATAAGCTTCGCAAATAACATACATTGGCTTCTTCTGAGTGAAGGTTGAATTGTGGCTCAATGACATTAACCATGAAATGACGGGTTCCATCGTCCTCAGATTCATCAGATTGCTTCACTGTTATAAAACATAAAACAGGCAGTCAAAATTCCAGTTTTCAAGGTTTTGCAATATCAAAAATATATTATAGAATTACGATATATTGCTTCAGCAAATAGTGCTAGTCAAAAAAACAAAAATAGTGCTAAGTGTGAGGCCAAAACATGACAGTAGCACAACAAAAATGCCAGTCTTGTTTCATCATCAATGAGATCCATAGTGCAACATAAAACTAAACTGCGTAATGTAGCATGTGGCCAATGCAGCCAATAGAATACTAAAGGCAACTTCTCAGACAAGAAGGCCAAGTTGCCTGCCTCTAAAATGTGAATAAGCATTGCTTATAGCTTTGACATAAAGACGATGTAAGGGAACCCAGAAAATCCTCAAATCAAGTACCTCTGATGGCTCTAGAACTTACCACTTGCACCTGGCAAAGGATTTTCCCCTTTGAAAGAATTGGATGGGGATGACTGTGATTTTGAAGACTCTGAATGCTGTCGTGATGAGGAACTCCCAACAGGACTCACAGATGTGGACTTGTTTATATCATCTTGAGGCATTTCTGGGCCACCAACTGCCTTATTCTCCTCAAGCAGCTTCCTCTGGGCATATTGACGAGAAGGAGAAGGTTTTGGAGTTTCAAATGCCTTCGATATTCCACCTACCCAGGACCAAACAGCATCTCTATTCTCAAGAGTCCACAAAAGCTTAAGACCGTATACAAAAATCCTCTGACAATTGTCAGCAATCACAACATTATACCCATCATCATCACTAGGATCAGATCTTGTATGCTCATCACTTTCACTCCCATTTTCAAACTCAGACCTGACATATGTCATCTCAAGATTTCTTCTGCCAGCTTCTTGCCAAGCCAATAACCTTTCTGGGTCAGCTTTTGGAGTTTGCCTTCTAATCGTAAAGTAATCAGATGATAATAAAAATCCATCATCCCGGTGCCTCTCTGTGCTTGCACTCAAACTATTCGTCTTATCATTTGGAACTCTGTCCATTGATGCAGATTGTGACGTTTTCCTAGTCAATTCAACTACTTTTGCAATACTTGTCCTGGCTTCCTTATCTAAATAAGCCTTTGGCATGTGAAGGTCAAGACCTTGGTAGACAAGATCAAGGGTGTCCCGTTTGCTTTCAAATGTATACTTTTGCTTACCCCGACCAAAACAAAGTTCATATTTTACTTTTGTCATCTTAAAGATAAGTCCCTTCGCTGGATCATCATCTTCTAAAGGCATATGTCTTATACACGTTGGAGTTGCATCAACCCGAAACATAAACTCTGTCATTACCTTGTCCATGGACAGATTGCCTGATCTAGCAATTCTAGGGACACCAAAACGAGGCCATCTTGAAAAAGTCCGCAATTTATGAGGAGGAAGGTAGTTCAAGTTCCAAAATTTTAATAGCCATGCTAAATCGTGTGGACCAAGATTGACAACTGGTGAATCAGTGGAGGCATTTGCTGTTGCAAATGGATTATGTGAAGCTCCATTCAGCAAGGCATGATCGCTCATTGCCGATGACTGTGACTCGTGATTAGAAGAGGGAAGAGAGGGTCTGAGTGACAGATTCCAGCACAAGGACAGAGAAGTAGACCTAAAGGGATCATAAACTTTTTCACGAGGTACACCTTCTATAGGAAGCGCAAATAGATAATGATTCAGTGGATTCCCAGATTCACAATCCCAATCCATTGTGACTTCAATAGTAAAGATGGGTGCCTCAATAAAAGCACCAGAAAAGCCAGTAGGATGCTTTGAGCAGGAATTTTTCAGCAAACTTTCTAAGCTGCTCAAAACAATCTTGAAATTCTTAGCGGTCATATAAACACGACCATCTGACTGCTGGATTTCCATATAACCAGAAAAAATCTGAAGCTTGTCAGAATTTTCATATGGATCAGTGGTTGCAAGGACATTCCATTTAGTCTCAGACAAGTATAAAGTAGTATTTCCATGAATATAGTTTCTCATTTCATCCCACCACGGTAAGCTTTTCTCCTTTTTGGGGGGCTGAACTTCTGGATTAGGGTTCCTGAGGCTTAAATTGGCCCTACGAAGTGCCACGGTAAAAGCATAGCTGACATCAGCAAAAACTGGTTCAAAACCGACACCAAATGACACTTCTGCTTTCTGAAAATGAATGGGCAAATCACAATATGTTTTCATTGGTGGTGTTGTACCACTGGCTGAACGAAGCATGCAAACTTTCCTCCATCTCCCAACATAAACATTTTGACGGATTTGGGGCTGAAAACTTGTTGCCTGCAATCAAAGGGAACATATATTTTTGGCCGCCGCGCGCGGGGGAGGATCATTAGCTAAAAATTCTTCTATTGGGTCAAAGTAGCAATTATCAAATCCTCCACAATAAAGTCTTAGAAACAGCTCAAATAGCTTAATTGATAATGTCAACCAGATCATGCATAATACAGATACATGACAGCTAAAGGTAACAATAGATGTCAGAGCAAAACATTTAAATCACCTAAAGGACACATTAACCGCAAAATCAAGTGACAAGGCAAACAAAATTTGCATTTATATGGAGAACCAACATTGAAGTCCCATCAGCCACAAAATTAACAGCTTATTCAATAAACCCATAATATTGTGCCTAAAGCTTCAGAAGAAAAATAGAAGATTGAGTTTGTATTGTTTTATTCTATTTAAAAAGATCTACAATTCAGACTACAAAATTAAAAGAATCAGAGAAGTCATAGGACAAACCTGTTGAGCCAACACCAGACGGCCTTCACACCTACCAGAAGTTCCAGCAAACAAGGGACAAGTGTAGTTTCTTAACTGAGCAACAAGGGACCCAGTATGCAAGATAAGGTTGGTTCCATATAGGCGTGAAAACGGAATATTATTTGCACGACAGACTGGATCAAGTTTTTGCAGGACTTCAATCATCCCAGCATCACCACCATCAATCCTTGTCAGGCTCAAGTCAAACTCTGTCGCAATAATAGAGAAGACAGAAGTTCTAGTTGTGCTAAACTTGAAGCCAGCTTGAAAATCCTCCTTACAGGCTCCAGATCCTGGTGATGGTGCAAGTTTCTGACATGCTTGATAATATGATCGGAATGACTGCTTATAAATCTCATCTCGCAATTTCTTAATTGATTCAGGATCTTGCATATTAATCTCTTCTCCATCAAATTGAACCTTGCTCTCAATAATTGGATCATTTCTTTCCGTACCTCCAGAAATTTGGCCAGCTTTTGAAATTAGTTCATCAAGAAAGTTCAACCTAACAGCTAATTCACAGGCCTCATTTTTCAACAGCTGATAATGTTCATCAAGCCAACCCTGTATCGGCTCTTCCTCAATATCAGCAGTTAGTTTGCGGATGCAAAACTTTACACGTCCGATTTTGGTTGAACTTGGCTTCTTAGGCTTTGAACTCTCTTTTTTAACTGGAAAGAGCATTTTAGCTTTAGCAGCATTGATAAGCTTCAGCGCCCGCAGCATTTCCTCAACAGAATCATCAATTGCACGCAACTGCAACCGGTATGGCATGCACACATGAACATCAAGCGCCTGGATTACCCAATCCCACACAGTGACTGTCTCTATTTTACCATTCGATGCAGTAGCAGAGGTGTTGGGAACACGAGAAATTTGCATCCTGCTGCTTTGAAATACTCTTGCTTCATTAAAATCGAGCATTAGTCCTTCAAGAAGCACACCAATTCGAGCATTCTCAGAAAATATGGACTGAACCTTGACTGTTGTTTCAACTCCATCTCCAGCCTCAGCAGATATACAGAGTGTTTCCACATCAATGGCAAAAATGGACTCTCTTTTTTTCTGCTGTTTATCGATTTGCAAAGGTTCCACAGGAGTGTCTTTCTCCTGCTCATTATTGGTCATGCTTGATATGTTTTCTTTGTTTTTTTCTACTTGAAGTCTATGATTCTGGACCAGTAACTTCAATTGCAGCCCAAGTTCAGATAAAGCAATATGTACATCAGGCTCCCATCTGACTGATATATCTGTAGCACTGAAGAGAGAACAGACAGCAATCTCTTTAAGGCCACCAGATCGCCTGACAACTTTTGCATTTTGCATGTCAAGCAATAGAACATTTGTTCTAGGAGTGCTGTCTTCCAAAAACTCCTGATAGATAGATCTAGCTCTTTCAAGATCCATCTGCATTGATCGTTTCTCCTTATTCATGCAAAAACCTAGGTGGAAAATCTCAAGTGTTACAGAGTACTTCAACTTATTGAACTTGTCTGAAAGAGTAGACATAATATCTGCTGTGCGAGGAGTACCATCAGCTGAGACACTTATTACAAATCGACCGCCTTGTGATCCATAATTTACACGTTTGGGATCCTCAACAATTGCGTTCTCCAATCCCACTTCTCCAAAGAAATTCAGAGAACACCTTTCAAGATTAAAGTTTACAAGTTGAATCCCCTTCCCTGATGAACTGACTGATTTTGAACCCCGGTTATGAGCTGCCTTCTTGCCAGAACCAGATAAACTTTTAAATAGAGCTTGGAAGGAAAAAGCAGTTGATACCAAAGATTCCAGGCGCCTAAAGGTCAAGTAGACACCCATACCAGTTACATCAGTGGAGAGAACCATTTTACACTTGCGACCATCTTCAGGTGAATCCATATCCTTTTTGCCCAAGTCCAGGCTAACCTTTGCTATGTGCAGCAAGGAACCCGTGTTTGTCTCCACACCAAAAAGGCTTTCTTTCAAGCACTCTTGATATTCATCAGATGTGTGCAAATTAAGCTCACCAAGTTCCATATGAACTGCAGTGCCCATAGTTGATATGTTGTTAGCATACACATGTGATGATTGAGAGCAACCCTGCATTAAAGAAGTAAAAGTTGAGATTCCAATGTAGTTTAAGATCAAGTTCCAAAGATCCACGCAAAAAGCTAACACAACCTAGTGCAGTATAAAAAACCAAAAGGATTTTTTAAAGAGGCATGGAAATCTCCAGTATTTCTTAATTAGCAGGATTCTTAGATTAATTGATCTTCAGTTCCAACTAACTTATATGTGCACCTTTGAGAATCAGCTTTTTCTCTAAAGGATTCTAACTTCACCCGCTAGTTGATCACATCCCTTCCTAGTACCTATTCAGGACACCATGAACCTGCCATGTTCAATTTGAAAGACACCATACGTCTCTCTCTCTATGCTATAGCTGTTTTATAGACACTGATGTGAAGCATAAGGAAAAAAAAAAAAGAAACAATGCAGTACTGCCATTTCAAATCCCGTCAACAAACAGAGAAACCTCAAAGGCTAATTGCAATTTTCGGAAGATCCGATGCATTGATCTTGGAAATATCCATGTGAACATGTAACTATCCTCTTTCATCTTCACCATTCCTAATTCGTTAAAGTTCCTATTCAAACTGCAGGCAATTTACCATCTCTTATGATATCACAAAGAGGCAAAGGTAAATACCAACACCTCCAATCCCGACAGACTGAATACAACCCTTAGTAGTTAATACTACTAATTATGATAGAAATCATTCTTGAGAATTTGTATTGTTCAATCTATGAATTTAAACTAGCTTTATTCAAACAAATGCATCTTTTAAACATATGTCAACAGTAATTTCATGTTCTAATGCAACAGCATGTGGAGAGGAAATAACTCTAAAGAATATTCTTACATGGTAGACTGGCGAGCCACTCAAATTGTAAAGCACAATGGTCATCTCTGGGGCAGAAGCAGTGCATGTCCACATAATTGCACTTTGTCCAGATGACCTTTGCTTTTCAAGAGAACCTTCCTCTCGAAGCACCATTCTCTTTGGTTTTGAAAAATGCATTTGCATCCATGGAACAAACCTACTAACCAGCAAGTTGCATTGAGTACCACCAAGCTTAATATCAACTTCACATCTGATAGGTGAGGAAGGCTGTAAAGCAAAGCATCCTAAACAAGTAAATGAAATGACAAACAGAACATCAAAATAGAAGACTTACTCAAAGGGTAGTAAAGCATGATAAGGATTAGCAAGGGATAAAGATGTACTAATCATGTATGAATCTAGTAAAGGAAACAAAAGAAACAGTCTGCAGGAAAGCATTTATTTCAGATAAAAGAGCTACCACGTAAGCACAAAAAACCTGTGCAAAGACCGATAATTTAAACATGTTAGCTAGCATATTTCAAAAAGAGTATCATAGATATTCATAAGCAAACTTTTCTATTCACCACAGACTTCCTTATTCTTTGAAAGTGTTTACTTACAGATTGGCATTAGACTCCACTGAGACACAACAAGGTCCTTTAATACAAAGTCCAATTTACCATTATCTATGTCTGTTGGTAGAGTGAAAAAAAGAGTGAAAAACTATCAATCTAAAAAAAACAGGCGATTATGGACTCCCAACCCCACACCCAAAAGCTGATGCCAACAGTACTTGAATGAGGGTTAAATCAGCAGCTCTATGGGGTTAGACTATATTTTCAATCTCAAGTGCCAACCAGTAAAAAGCAACTTCCAGGAAAAGTTCTGGTACCATTTCTTTTGCCTGTATACACACACACATTACACAGTTTCTTTTGTTTTCTGTTCTATGTACAAGCTATACTTGGTAGCTTCATCCTTGTGGTAGAACTCCATTCTAAATCCTTTATACATTCAATAACACGCTATCTGTACACTATCACAAGTAAGTTTTGGAAGTTCTTTCCAACAAAACGAAACTTCTAAAGAAGTGCAAATTTGTACTCTTTTAGAAATTCCCATACAGATTAATCCTGAAGAATTTAACTAGAGAAGTATGGTCAGCCTTCTTGATTCTGTACCCTTCTGACATTATCTTACAGAGATTGAAAACACCAGACTTTTTCCTCTGGGACAAAAATTCACTAATTCCCTTAATATGGTAGCATATTTCCTCTTAAAGTATGCTTAGTCTAATGATGAATAAGAAATTTGCAAATAGTTTTCATCTAGTTGGGAAAATAAATTGTTATCATGTTTCTCCCAATCCATCATCTTGTAATTTCATCTTAGAGTTGATGATCTCTTAACAATTTTATGGTACAAGTGGCAAAAATTTTGCTAATGCTTCCTATATTAGTTTGTTGACACAAAAAGATATAAATAAACAAGTATATCCCTTCCCTTTGAGTTTTGGTCTTGTGCATCGATCACCTGCCTCTTCTACACATGAAGCTTTAAAACTGAGCTAGACATCATGTCTAGTAGTGGAATGAGTCAATTGTGAGGGAATAATTCATACTGCTCAAGACAAGATAAACAGCACACTACACAACATCATGACAGCAAAAACAAGGAGACACAATATAGCAGAGATTAATTGATGGCGTATTGATTGTGCTATATCAGTTGGACTCAGATAGAGCAGAGAATAGACTGTTACATGGACTCAGATAGAGCTGTCGGATAAGGTTATGTGTCTAAGTATCAGATTCATTACTTTATTAAAAGCTAGATACAGGGACACAGCCAAAGAGTCGGATATGGCTATGGGGATGTGCCGGTTAATATGATTTTTATACTATATTACCATATGAAAAAGATAAAATCCTACAGATCATAGTTTTTCTGGTGACATTTCATAGGCTAAAGCGGTCATGAAAAAATTAATAAGCTTATAGTGTTCAGAAACAGGTAAAGTTTTCTGAAGTAAAGGCTTTGACAGCAGATATTTAGCTCTTATCAGAAAAAAAAAGTGTAAATTGAACAGGAGCAATGAGCTTTGTATGACAAACAACTAACTAATAGAACCAAAAATTTTGTAAAGCTTGTGAAACCACTAGCATTGCTTGTGATGCTTTAAACATCACAAACAGATGATCTAACCAGATTACCCCACCTTCCTTATATCTCTCTTAACAAATGCTTTTCAAGCTGTTGATTATTACTACCATCTTTTTATTTCCCCAAATTGTGCATCTTGACATTTGTTTCTCATCATTCACTAAGCTGCAGTTTGTCGTCTCTTTCATTAGTTACTGTCCCTCTTCTTTTTCTTCTTCTTCTTCCATTTTTTTTTTTTTGGTGGTTGAAATGCAATCCAGACCACTGACAAAGAGTGCTGGCTGAATGAAACTCTTTGCCAGCAATAGGCGAGCATTCAATCATTCATGAAATCACATCCACTTTCAAAACCCAGTTACCAAGGACCACAACCAACCTAACAAAGACCAATTTCCTCATATTTCTCTTTTCAAATTCAAAGGACCCATCTAACTTTGACCAGATCTGGTAGATATACCGCATCCCCGCCAATGTCATATTGTGTCAACACAGGTGCTTCATGATCAAAAGGCAAGTCCATGTAATATAGGAAAAACTACAGCAAACCAAAAAAGCAAAGGGAAGAAACAGTCAACACAAAGGGCCTATTACACAACCCCAAAGAAGAGAATCAAGTTTGCTATCTGAACCCACAGTCCCAACATTAATCCAAAAACTAAAGGTCAGAGGACAAATGGCAACAAGTAGGCCAACTACCCTCATTTTCATCTTTTAGAGTAAAATTGGTTTCCGCAATAGGGCAGTTCACAACATGTGCTGACAAACAGTATAATGTGAAATATAAAGGACAGGCAGAATTGCAACTTAACAGAATGTGATTAAGTTCAAATTTCAGCAGTTTTAAGTATTCGATACATGTACCTGCAGGGGAATATAAGCTGAAGAAATAACGTCAAGTTTCAGTATCTCAACAATGGAAACGCCAGCATCCCTCAGCAGCTACAGTTTTATCAGAGAAATCATCGTTAGATGAGGATTGATAAAAGAACCTCTGAAAAATACTGTCTAGACAACTTCTTTAACTGTTTTAACATTTTACTCGTACATGAATCTCACTAAATTCCAACTGAATATCAAGCCTGGTACTTTCACTGAGATCTTCAACAGTTCGAGATTTTGTGCTCTTCAGTTGAATGCCCATGATGTTACTATCCATTACAAGACCTTGTCCCCGATGCACATACTTCACATCCAATTTGGGCAATGTGAAGCCAATCTACAAAATGCAGCTTCAAATTATGCAATGAATACAAGAAAGCCCGAAACTATTCCAGGCATTTTCCACAAAAGTATAGTAAGTGACCAAGCAATATATACATTCACTTGATTATGATACAAGCATTGTGATAAAGAACAGAGAAAATACTCAGGCAGACAGTTATGGATAAAAAAGTGAGTCAATTTAATATAATTGATAAATACAAAATTCTGAAAAGGAAAATTGACTCCATTTGAGTCAAAGCACAGTGAGGAATCTCAGTTTGCACCGGTCCCAGGACAGCAAACCTCAAAACCGCACAATATGAGCACCTTTTATAGCCTTAGCATCTCAAGGGCAAATGTGTAAAACGATACATGAAACAACAATCGACTTGTTTAATAACATAAAAATGCAGCTCCAGTATGCAAAACTGTTCTATGTGTATGTACATATGCATGGGTGTATGTGGGTGTGTGCGCGAGAAGGAAGAGTGTGCTAATGGGAGATAATATGCATGAATTGCTTCCTGAAGGTCTACATCTATATAAGAGGCAAAACAATCATAAACCCATGCATACACCAGAAGCACCAATTCATTTATTCACAGATGAGTTTCAGACATGGCATTCCAAGGATCTGTTAAATCATGTCAAATATAATCATGTAACAATGACCTGCTGTGCTACATGAATTAAACTGATTGCAGCTAATCAATATTTGTTCAATTTGTTCATTCAGTGTCAAAATCACATCAAGCAAGCCTAGACATTCTTCAGATTTTCATATAGTAACTATATATGCTTCATACTTGATATAATAAGATATGAAATGCACATCCTCTATAATGACCTAGCACAGCTAGGTGGATCCCATGCATATCATTTCACATCAAGTTATGCAGAATATTTAAAAGTGTCAACACATCACAGAGCTAAGAAAAAATACCAATCACAAAAAAATTTCATGTCATAACGATCAAAACCCACCAACCTTTTCGGGGAATATAGAAGTGAACTTAGTAATAGCCAAAGCTGCAGGTTTTTTGTCTGGCTTTTTAGTGGCACTTGCTTCATTAGCCTCTGTTACAACTTGACCAGCCTGAGCGCTTGTGCCAATTGAACTTTTCTTCTTAACCAAAAGCTCTTCACTTAAGATCATAGAAACTTCTCCACTGGTAATATCTACATTCTTAACCACTATACCTGCTTCCCTGAGAAAATATGGATTTTGAGAGAAATCACTACTACGGAGCACATCCAACAATACATTTGATTAAAGCATACAACTAACAAATAAAAATATTTATTTTGACTCTTTAGGCTTCTAATTTTCCTATGCCATTTTGCCCTTTTCAGGATTTGTGTCTAATAACAAAATCTGCTGATATATCAAGTAATGACCAGAGCCATAAGTATACTATATGCATAACTAAAATTGTTTTATGTTTAAACATTGTCAGACATTTTCTTAGACCCAAAAAATAAATAGTGAACCATTTACTAGTACTCAATCAGTCCAAGTATGTGTATCCCATTTGATTAAGTTTTGCTATGGAATGGCACTGCCGGAATTTTTATTTAATTTTCTTTAAACCGACTGGACTATGACAGAGAACTGAGAGAGCTGTTGTAGGAGCCAAAAAGGGAAAGAAAGTTGCCCCCTTAGCTTCCATGCGGGTTTTTGGAGCATGAGAAACTCAGATGCTGCTGAGAGTATTGAAAATATTATTTAAACAGCTGAAGTTCTAGATTTCATCTCATTACTTGTTGGAGTAGGCATCCATCCACTGTAGATCCTTAGTTGTTCTCATTTTACTTCTTCTTTTTTTTTTTTTTGGTTAACAGTCATGATAAAGGGAGCTTTTGTTATTATTCTTTTTGTATGCACTACATCGGTCAACAAACTTCTGAATATGTCATAACAAAGAAATGCATGGTCTGGAGCTAAAGGAATACAGTGCTCCAACTTTCTCCAAATTAAAGCAGTAAAAGAATAAGAACTAACTAAGCAGCAATTAATTATCTCTACTAGAGGTTGTACTGGTCAAAGGCATCAATTGGTTAACTGGGGAGATTTTTTAGACCCTCAAGATGAAATCCTCAAAAGAAGACGATCGTTAGACTCTTAAAGCACTATTAGCACATGCAACTTTTCTACTCAAAAAAGGATCTTCAAGGACAGAGATCATAAGCAATCAAATACAGTTTACAAAAAGAGTGACAGGATGAAGGGACAAGCCAATAGCTTGTACAGTCTAGCTGTCTAGAATAGCTTATACAAGCATCTGAGCAAGTGCTTTCTATGATTAAAGAAACTGAAGCACATCTAATCAAGTAAAGAGAGAAAAGTTGCAGAATAATCATGGAACTACGTAAGCAGATATAAAACCTACCTATCATGACCAAATTCACACAAAAGTGCAAAATCTTCACAGTTGAAAGGAGCAGAGGTTCGTTCTGTCAAACCAGAAAATGCTTCGCCAGAAGGAAGAGATCCCCCAGGGATATCAGAAGTAACACGTGATTCACCTAAATAAACCCAAACAGGAACTAGATGCAGCTTCACAAAGAGGGTTGGCTGGGCTGCACCATCCTTGGATATTTCCAGTCTGAGTTCTTTAACCTCCACTGTAGCTTTTGGTGTCTGAATTAATTGTAAAAAAGAGTGAAACTATGAGCAAATCTTCCTGCCATAATCTCCATGGATAGTGAAAGAGTGAAGCAGATATTATATAGAAAAACAACTAAACAATTTATAATTAATTGATCACGTTCACCCTGAGATACCGTGAGCAGCTTCCTGCCTACCTAGTCTTAACTTCCAAATCTCATCGTCATGCAACAACTAAACAGAAATTTGAAATTATTTGCTACACCTTGGTAGATATCCACTACCAAAGGATTTTTATCATCCCTTGACAGGTATTGCAAAATTTTGATTAACTTTAGTTTTGCTCAAGAAAGACCAAGTTTAAAGCCTGTCTCTAAATGGAACTAGCACAAAAATGAAGAAAATTTTATGATCCATATGGTGTCAAGATCTACACATTGGATGCAAATTGCAATCTCCTCATAGAAATTTATTTATGCAGAGTTTATTTCATATTCACCTCCTTCATATAACACATATGCCTTCAAGCCATACAGTGGCTATGAATCAATCATCATCAAGCAGACACAGTTTCCCACCCAAAGGATGCAACCTCACCTTCCTGTCAGAATAATTTAAAGCTCAAAAGGAAAAGTCTCTTCATTCAACCCTCAATCGAAAGCACATAGAACACTTTTGATGATTGCCCAGCACACAATGTGAATAGGAAAACCTGTCAATAGTACCAAATGACCTGCGATACTTGTATTACAAACATAAACTGCCTAAATGCAAACACAGAGATGCTTTCTTTTCTTTCTTCCAATTTGGGTCCTTTGAAGTGGCTAAACAACTAAAACAATAATCCTAACATTATGTTGAAAAAAATACTCATATAAGCACATCAGACTTGAGCATAACCACAGAGGACAATTTTCTTTCTTCAGTCAAGAAAAAATCAGAGATGTGAAACAAATGTGAGGTTAAACTCATGAACAAAACCGACTGTTTAATCCTCCAGAAACAGAGTATTACTCATCCATTTCCTACCTAGCACACCAATTAAACAGCATGAATCCCAGAAATAAATAATGTTCACACATACTCGTCCCCATTCCCTTTCTTACGTGAATATTTAAGTAACATAATAAGCTAAAGGAACCCATTGTAGATGATAGATAAAGGCAAAATTATTCCTTACATATACCTTTACAACCAGTTCAGTCACAGCAACAGACAAAAACCGTGCCATATTAGCCACAACCATCCACTTTCCTCTACCAGAAGCACGCGATTTCCTGGACTTCCTTTTCTGAGTACTTTTGGTGGGGGCTCTCATCACAACTTCTAAGTCGTATATTAAAATCTGCAACTTCGGATCCCTAGAAAAAATACCAACACCAAGTTTGACCAAGGACTGCCTTACACTGAGTCTGATTTCACCAACAGATACAGATTCAACAGCGCCCTGAAAATTTGATTGTCAGGATCAAGAAAAACATGGCTCAATGTACATTATTGTAATAAGATCTGCTAAAAAAATATCCAAAAAAGAGATGAAGGCCTATCTATTCAAACTCCATGAAGTCAATACTTAATTCAGTAGAAGCTTGTTAAATGGAAATAAAACCAGCAACTTTGTCTGGATGGTGCCAAAATTAGGTCTAAACCAGGATTATCACTAAAGTATTTTCAATAAAAAAGATCCACAAAATCTCCAAGTCAAGGTAACTCTTCTGTCAACAAAACTAAAAGTTTTAGGGGCAACCACAAAACTGTCATTCAATCCAGCAACCTTGTTTAGAAAGCCTAATAACATATCTTAATGATGTTAAGGCAAACATAGAACTAATGAATGTCAACCAAAAACTCTGGAAAACAAAAGGTTGCTTCACTACTCAGAGGTGGACACTAAAAACAAATTGCACGCAAAAGCATGCAAGAGAATGACACAAGCAAAGGCACCTCCAAATCTGTATTCCTGATAACAAAGCTGCTTCTAAAAAAATGCACCATGGCACTCTCCAGGAATTTATGCAATTATTCGTTAATTTATGATCTTGAACCAAACTAAAATCAAGGAATGGTCAAATTGGTACAACTATCATTACAGAATAACCCTCAAAAGTGCACCCAGATGGCTTAATTTATAGTAACTCAAGTCAAGAAGAGTAAAAGTAATTCAACAAGGAATACTATGGGTGATATTGCTTTTTATATTGACTGTCAAGGAAACAAAATGTGGCTACTTGCAGATATGAAAACTCAAAATTGTATTTGTCAGCTGCCCTTCCAAGAAGGTTTTGACACCTGTACATGAAGAAATCCCAGCTCTAATGTTTTGATTTTGAAGAAATCTTCAGTGGTCCATATTGACTGCCCAAACAAAGCTAAGTTTTACAGGTTCAAAGGTTTCCCAACCACCACATAACCTTAATCCATAAGAAGGTGATACATATAGACTTCCAGGTCCAATAAAAGAAAAAGGGTGGCAACCCATTTTTGTCTGTATCTAAAACAAAGTTCAAAACCCAACTCTTCTAAGTCAATCCCTGTATAAGGACAGCAGAATCAAGTTTTTAACCCGTATAGTACAACAATAAAAAAAATTAAACAAAAAAGGCTCATGCAGAAACAGACAGGAAAAAGAATGAAAAATACAATTTTTAAGAAAATTATCATGAGACATATTGAGTGCTTGCTCAAAAAGACAGTCTTTCAGTTATTGAGAGATAACAAATCATGTCGCGTTAAAATTACAATAACATATTAAAGTTCAGCTGCAAATATCAAACTGAAAAAGGAAAAAGCAAAAAGAAATAAAAAGAAAAGAAAACAACCTTTTTGAACTTCACAACAATATCTCTCAAGCATTTCCATCCACCAACACGGAACTGAACTGATGCTCCCAGAACTCGGCTTAGAATCCCAGTCAACAACCTGGAAGCAAATCTGAAACAAGAGGCATGATCAGCAATCTAAAATCAAGTTGCAACTAAATTATTTTGGCTTCAAAGTAAATAGCATAACACCGTCACCTCACAGTCACAAAATAAAAGGCCGTCAAGCAGCAAGCTATTCTATATAATTCCATCATATAAGCAACATCAGTTAAAGAAAAGCTGGAGATGGATCTCATTTACAAGAGAGCACGTTGGCAATAAAAAATGTATTGGCTAAGCACATGAACAAGTTATAATAGGTTGCACCACAAAACGATCTAAAAGTCCCTGGAGCCTGCTCTGAAACCATAACGAGTAACCACTCCATCAATATCAAAAAGAGTAAAAGAATACTCTCAAATTGATGAATCAAGCATATTGGCTAAGGCAGAAAATAAAAATTTTGAAACTCCAGGCTGATTTGGCAGCCTAGCTGCACTAATTTGCACCAAGAAAAAGCCAGTCTCTTCCTCAGGGTATTACACTGTAGAAGCCATAATCTCTTCTTTCCGGGACTGCACCTTCAATTTAAAGAATCAATCTTAAGCTTATAGCTCTTCATTGACAACCTTGATGCCTAAAGCACACCTTAACTGTCTCCTGCATACTGATAGACGCATCCAAATGCTACTTAACATACTCCTTTAACTCCTCTACTTTGCATTGTGTATTTTCTCCAGTTTTGTCCAGCCTAACTTCACTATCTTTCTTTTTCTAGTCTTCTTCTGATATTTCTTTCCCCTAAATGAATTGTTTAACTTTTATTTTGGAAAAAAATGAGAAGTAGAAAAGAAAAAACTGCCCAAAAAGATAAAAACGCATATTAAGTTAAATGGCATTAACTTACAGAGATTTCTCTCTCTCATCAATGTGCATCCAAAACTACAGTTAGTTTACCACCATATGGAAGGCACATATTCAGCCTTGACACAACAACTAATTTATTGAAGTATCACACTAAAAGTTTAGGGTCACTTCATCCGCAAGTCTTTATTCATTGGATTTGTCTAATGGTAGACAAAATTCCTAGAAGAAATAGTTAGATGCATTGAGCACCAAGCAGATTCCACAGCATAAAGAAAAAACGAACATATCAAAACTTAAGAATTCTGTTCTATTGGTCTATCAGAATCTGCAAATCTGCAGCACATTGTATTGAAGGATGACTACAAACATATTATAATAACTTTTTTTTGTATGTTAAAAAATGATGGAATACAGCACATGAGTGCACTTCAAGATCCCTTAGAAGCCAAAAAGACAGATGTAGAAATGAAGAATATTTCTATAACGATTTATTAGATTTCCACTGGGGTAAAACCTGTAAAGATTACAGCACATGAGTGCACTTCAAGATCACTTAGAAGCCAAAAAGACAGATGTAGAAATGAAGAATATTTCTATAACAATTTATTAGATTTCCACTGGGATAAAACCTGTAAAGATTACAATACAAAACCAACATAATAGTGTTAGACAACAGAGGAATAGCAAAGAAGTGAAATAGTTTGATTTCCTCAATAAATCCAATTCTTCCTTAATGCACTCAAAATTTTCCATTGTTGAGTCAATGATTCCGCAAGTTAAGCTAAGGAAGTTCAGAACAAATGATGCCAGAAAAGAGTCGACCGAGAATCAAAATTTCAGCGCTCAATGTTCCACGAGCATGAAAGTCCAGCAGAAACAAGCTGAATCCAATAAAAATTTAAAAAAGGCACAGCCTTTATAAGAAAATAATCTTCAGAAAGACAACATCAAAGACAATAATGGTAATATATGCACTCCCCCTGATAACTAAACTACCACAATTAAAAGCAACACTTGAATGAATAACAACTATACACACGACAACTTTAACCACTTGCTTTGATGATCATTTTATCAATCTCCACCGCCAAAAAACATAGCCCTCAACCTTAGCACGTCCTAATGAACACCTCTAACTACAAAAACTCAAAATTGAAGGACTTTCACACAAAAAAAATTCCCAAATAATACCAATCTGTCTTTATAAAGCAACATTCTAATACTATAACCAGTCATTTTCACGATCCTTTGATGAACTTACACCAAAACATGACCTTGATTTAACCACAAGAACACTTCATAACTACTAAAAAGAATCACAATTCACAAAATTCAACAGAAAAAAGAAGACAATAATCCACACATTGCACACAAAAAAAAAAAAAAAAACTGTCTCACCATGATCCACCTGGTGCAACAAATGCAAACGATAAATTCCATTACTAGAAAAAGTAAAGGTATAAAATATATGATAAACAGAGTAAACTTACGTGAAAATAAGCCATAGTATGATGGAGATGAAGAGGAATCCGAACAAGAATTTGGCAGGTGAGGCGCCCATTGTGGTCGTCAAAAAACGGTTCGATCTTCGAAATTTCTAGACTCAAAAATGCAATGCATTGACTCAAACAGTAGTCATAATCTCCTCTGCGCATATCTTCATGTGAACAGAAATAAAACGGAATCCTTAGCCGAAAAACTCTACAAAATTAGTAAATAAAAAATAAATAAATTGGTGAAGGTGAAGAGAGAATTGTAGGGAAATGGAGAAAAGAGAGTGAATGTAGGAGAAACAAGTGAAGAAAGAATGGGTATTTGGGGGGTGGGAAGTGCGATCCGAGATATGTGTACTCTGTTTCAGCATCGACTATTCAATTGATCAAAAAATCAATGGGGAAAGAGAAAGAGAGAATGGAAGGAAACCAGCAGAGAGAGAAAGTAGCGTCGGGTTGGATCTGGACCGGAAATGGGTCTCCTCGACGAGAGAAGCGGGTCAGGGTGGAGGGGTATTGGATCCGGTGCGGAAGGTGTTGGGTTTCTTCTGGGACGACGTGCATGACATGTCTCTGTTTTGACTGTAGGGTGTTAAGTGGCGAACTTGTCCTTTCCTTTTGGGATTTGAGCTTTTTTTTTTTCCTTTTGCTTTTGTATTTTTCCTTAAATTTCTATTTCAAAGTTTTTTTTAAAATTTTATTTCAAAGTTTATTGTTTCACGGTACGTATATAAGCCTCAATAAATCCCTTTAATAGATGATTTTATAAATACTTTTTTAATAACTTGTTAAATTTTACTAATCACTTTTTTTATCTCATATACACTATAACAAAAAAAGTGCTAAGGTGTTTTTTTTTATAAAATATTTCTTTGACTAATCTTCGATCTAAATGAGTTATGTAATTTTTTACTAATTCTTCTAGTTACTATAATTAGTATTTGTGTCTTATGGAGTGTGCACAATCCCAAATCATCATTTAGAATAAATATCAAGTCAAGAAATATTAAAATAAACACAATTTAGACCTGATTTAGGAATTAAATTTCAAATCGTATTCCTAAAAAAAATGAAAGAACAACATTTTATTCATGAGTTAATTTGATTTGGTTGATAAATGGATTAATATCTTTTCATCTTTTCATAAATATAATTCTTGATTTAAATGAATTAAATAATTCAAATATATTAAAACTTGACACATATGATACTTTACATAATAATACTACAAAAGTTATTTTCCTCGAGTCATCTCTAGATTAGATTCTGAACATTTAGGATTACACAAATAATTATTTTCATATTCAAGTAAGTATTTTATTGTTAGTGTTTTACTAATTCAGAACGAACTATTTTCAAATATTTTTTTCATATTACATTTATATGCAATACTTTATCGACATTTTAAAGTATCTTTATTCTTTCCTTAAACATAAAAGATCGATCAAAATCGCTTATAGAAAAGTAGATTTCACAGTAATTACTTCCTTTTGCTTTTAAGTTTTCTATAAAAACAACAATAACCCCGTAGTAGTATTAAGTCAAATATATAGGTCAAATTCAAAAAATAATCATTCATAAATTATATTACTCTTTGTTACTGTCAGAAAATATGTACTTATGTGTATGTCCTTTTGGTTGACCACAACTCAATCAACTTGATCTCTATCTTTTATTTTTTATTTTCTACGAAAAGAGGTGTTAAAAAGTGATTTGTCAAATTGATAGCTAAAAATCTACATCCCAGTGGTCCCATGGGATCCATATCCAAATGTCAACGCGGCCACAGGCGTAATAAACAGTAACTGTTTTGGGCACATCTCATAATATAACAAAAATTGAGGGGCGGTCGCAAAAATTGAGAAATAGAATTGTAGGGTTTATAGAAGGGTTTACAGGAGAAAGGAGGAGAAAGCTCGTTGGTCGTTACCGACCTTCAAATTCATAGGAAAGGGAAAAGCCCCAATTCAAAATTAAGAGTAGAAAAGCTTCAAAAGCTGCTAAATTTGTTCGTTTCACAGAAGTAATTGTAAAGCATGGAGGAGGCAGATGCATCAGTGGATAACAACGCCAGAATAAGCAAGTGAGCAATTTGGCAATGATTTCTAGTTTATTATGAATAATAGATAGAGTAATAATCGACCAGGTTCAGAAAATTTGTTCATTTTTTGTTATTTTTCCTGAATTGATGGTTCAGAGAAGCGCCGCAGCTGGTTGCGGTCTTGAGAGAGATGAAGTATGGTTTGGATACAGTCAGGGCGAAGATTGAAGCTCTTGCTGCAAAGGTGAGAGGGCTTCGTTAAATTTGTATTTTTAAATGCGAAAGAGCTGCTCAAATTGATAATTTGGTCTTCAAGATTTTTACCTTAGCGGAACGGTGATAGGAAATCCAAAATCATATGTTTGTAGTTTATCCGGAAGTTTAGGTGTTGAAATGGGACTGAAATTGGGACTATGGCTCTACTTGGTTGAAATATTGAACTGGGCTCATTCTTATTGTTCTAGTTTGTGCTGGTCTGAATTGATGTATGTTTTGGATATTAGGTGAAAGCAGATAATTTCCCCACAACAGACGGAATAAGCTATCTAGACGCGAAATATTTACTGCTTCTGAATTATTGTCAGTCACTTGTGTACTATTTGCTTCGCAAGGCGAAAGGTTTATCTATTGAAGGACATCCTGTTGTAAGGAGCCTTGTGGAGATCAGATTGTTTTTGGAGAAGGTAATTTTGCACGTTCCTTTGGGATATCAATTTCATTTTCTACATATTGTTTTCGAGATTTTTATTGGATTGCTGGGGAAGTGATTGTGTGGTTATGGTCAGGGTGGGAAGCCTTTGTAGATACTGATTTGGGTTTATGTTTGACTTAGTTTTCTGTTCATGTTCTGGTTTCTACAGGTTCGCCCGATTGATAAAAAACTTCAGTATCAGATAGGGAAGCTTGCTGGAGTGACCCCCAGAAATGTAGCGGAGAATCGAGATATGACTGTGGAGGAGACTGAAACAGCTAAAGAAGAAGAGAAATGGATAAAGTACCGACCAAATCCAGATATGCTTATTAGCAAAACAGATGCAACTCTGGAGGTGGGTTAATGATGTTTAAATGTTTAATTAAGAGGAACAATATTACTTTTTAAGTATTGAGAACAGTACCTTATTTTCTTGAATAGGAAAAAAAACTAATGGAGAATTTCCCTGTTTGGAAACTTGTAAAAGTTGTGACATCAAGTGAGATTTACTTTCATGGGACTTGTGATGTATCAAAATGTGAATATATTTGTGTGTTCCACTTTCTAAAGTTCGTCTAAAATTGCAGAAGGATGGAGTATACCGCCCGCCAAAACTTGTGCCTGCTACTATGGACGAAGATAAAATGTCTCGACAGGAGAGAAATGCCATGAGAAAAGAGAAAGAAACCTTACGCCAGGCTAGACGGAGTGCTTATGTGAGAGAATTGATGAATGACCTGGAGGGAAAACCTGAAGAGGTAAGTTAAAGGATGCGGTTTTTGGTTTCTATTTCTTTAAAAGTTTTGCTTGGTGTACTAATTTTTAGACCAATCTGAAAATGAAGGTTAGAGAAGATATTGGAACTGAAAGTGCAGAAGTAACTAAGTACATGGAAAAGATGGAACAACGTGCACAGCAAGAAGAAGAGCTCTTTATACGTGCTCCTCTGACAAAAGCTGAGAAGAAGAAAATGAGGCGTCTGAAGAAACCAAGGAATGGGTAAGTTCAGTAGAAAAATTGAATGGACATGGATTTTTGCTGTCTGTTGGACCCTTCTTAAGGAATGAATAGACCGACATCCATTTACTACTTGTCTGATTTGATTTCTCCTTTTTTGCTAGGTTGCTTGATCTGACAGAGAGCTTCTATGATGAGATAAAGACTCTGCCTTTCGAGGATAATGGACCTGAGCAATCAGCAGTTATTGGCAATGGCAACAGTAGTGAGAGAAAATTCAAGAAGCAAAAGGTGAGTTGCTCTCGAGAGTGACTTCGTATATGCCTTTCGTCATTATAGAGCTGTTTTGCCTCAGAATATATCTTCATTTTAACTGAAACCAATAAGAACTACAAGTTGCCATTGTTTTGATTTCCTGACGGTAAATCAAATGTGATGAAATGATTTTTCTCTTTTTGTTTTCCTAGTAGAGAAATTTTTTAAATGTATTCAATGTGTATTGCAACATGTTGAGTGGCGTTATGCCTTAACACTGCAACATGTACAATCTTGTTGGCAGATAACTTGTTCTGCTGAACTTTTGTATTCAACATTAACAGGGTGCTTGATTTGTCAACATGAAATAATATTCCTGGATGCCAATTTGCCAGGCTGCCTATTGACGTTGGTTGAGGAGTGCCCTTGCATGCTTCCTTTTTTTTTATGTAAAATGTACGCTGATGCTATACGTCTTTGTGCCAGTCATGTTTCAATAGCACTATACCCATAGCTTGTCCCCTAATTAGTGGATATGGTGAAGCTAGTGCTCTTTGACATTTAGACTTTGTAGGAGGTTTAACGTTGTCACAAATTGTAGAAAAGTCAGTTGAAGGTAATTCTACCATGCATTAATGGAAATTAATGTTTCTTTTGATCTACATCCGACATGTGTGTGTGTGTGTGTGTGTCTCTGAGAGAGAGAGAGAGAGATTCATGGAAATTGGTTTTAAGACTTGTTTCGAATACTTTGTCCTCATTTATTCACACAGTGTACTTGTTGTAAAAGCTAATCATTGAACTGTGTGGCAATTATGCAGAGGAGGCATTAAGAAACAGCCAGGTTTCGGTTCTCTGAGTAGATAGCAAAATTGATTGGAGGAACTGCTGGGCTCTGGACATTTCAGCTGTTAACTACGAGATTGAAAGTTGAAGGTCACTAGATGGTGTAGATTGTAGAAGATTCATCTCAATTCAGATGGCTTTGTATCGTTGATTTTTCCTTTTTGGGGCAGTTTTTTTTATTGTTGTTTTGTTCTGTGGTTGTTTTCAGTTGTAAGATTACTTAATAGAGGTGCTTGACATTTAGAAGGTTATCGTGATTCAATTTTCTTGTCCACGTGATACGGCAAGAGTCTTAAATTTCTTGTGTTCTTATGTGCACCACACTTCTCGATTGTGCTCAGGGAATTAATGAAAAAGGGGACGCAGGAGAAAGATCAACTCCTCTTAAATTAGTTGGTTGTAATATTTCAGTGAACTCGAAATTTTGGTTGAATTTGGAGGAATACTGGCTCAAACTTTTTGAAAAGTTTTACACATGTAGCAATTAATTTGATTCTAAATATTATGGATTTTGATCTTAATTGATTTCAAAAGAATAGCAATCGGTGGATTACAATTTACAAGTGCAGATGCTAATTTCAAACCTTTCTAATAATACATTTGACCAGATTGCAATGACCATTTACCCATTTTGTCACATTGTCTTGATTCTAAGGTGAGAGGAGATTAGTACCGTTGAGCTTTTTGGGAAAAAAAAAACACAAAATTTGATTTTGTATGATTTTGAATGGATTTAAAATTTGTAAATCATCCAAGAAAACAAACTTGAAC